ACGGTACTACCAACGTAAACGATTCACCGTTGAATCTAGTTTGGTTTAATGAAGATGATACAGCATCTAATTCGCAATCTGGAACTTCTTCCTCCAAACGACGCGTGATGGCGAAATACCTACTGCTTGGGTATTTTATTTAATACACCAAAATATATAATTTAACAAGTGTTTTTGTTTTCAAACACTCACAAAATTCAAAAAGGTTTATGGAATATTTAAAAAAACATAAAAAACATAAATGACTGGTAATTTTACAAAAATATTTGTAAATTAGGTACATAAAAAACATAAATTACTGGTAATTTTACTGTAAAATTACGGTTTTTTTTAATAAATGGTAAGTTACATAAATTACATAAAATACATAAAAAATATAAACAATTGGTAATTTTACACGTAATATTACGCACTTAAAAAAAAACGTGTAATTTAACATCACTACAGATAATACAGAAATCGTCCCTGCCTCTGAAAGAAACAAACCTTACCCACCTCGGGACGTAGAAAGTAAATTTTCATTTCAGATACATTCTGGAGGAGAAACTTAGCTTAATACCAGAAGCTACACTGAAATAATATTTTAGGGCTCTTCTCTAAAAAGTGTTTGGTGACAGCGGTGTGTGATGAGAAGCGAGCCACCCTGTAGTGCAAAATTTACTTGTTGTCAACGTAATTTCCGGTTTACACATTGCAAATAGCAGTCGGGACATCATGTATGTAAATATTTACATGTATTTAATAGGTTCTGGCGGGAATTTCGTTCAAAAAGACCCAGAATTGGAAAATTTGTTAAATTGTCACTTTAATGTTAGTTTTTTATTGCAAATTTTTTTTTTTAATTGATTAAATTCCATAAGCAACCAGAATAGTATTACATTCTATGAGCTTATTGTCTGTCATTATCAGGCGTGAGTAGAGGGACTCCCAGTGGAGTCAGTCCGCTATTGATCTACGAGATCTTTTGGCAATTTCTTCTTAAGGCGTCTGGGCGGAGGATCTTCTGCGAGAGGTGTCACGAGCTCGTTGGGGTCAAGTTCCAATGTTGTTTGATGCTTCGCAGCATATTGATTGATTATCTCAGTCACGTAGGGAATATTTAGGTCCGAGTGAAGAGTTTGGTTGGATACATACCAAGGAGCGGCTGTGATAATACGGAGGGTTTTTGATTGGAAGCGTTGAATAATATCAGTGTTAGATCGACTTGCACAGCCCCATAACTGACAACCGTAGGTCCAAATGGGCCGAATTATACACTTGTACATCAGTACTTTGTTGGCTAGTATTAACGACGACTTCCGTCCGATGAGCCAATATAGCTTTCTCAACTTTAAGTCCATTTCTTTGCGTTTTTTGATAATGTGAGTTTTCCACGTCAACCTGCTGTCTAGATGGAGTCCCAAGTATTTGACTTCCTTGGACTGAGGAATGGGTATATTATGGAGAGTGACAGCTGGGCAGATTTCGTGTCTGGTCGTAAATGTAATGTGTGTCCATTTACTTTCATTCACTTTGATTCTCCACTTAATTAGCCACTGTTTTTTTTCGTTTAAGTGGGACTGTAAAGAAGCTGATGCTGCTAACGGGTCTTCATTACATGTAAGTATCGCTGTATCGTCAGCAAATGTGCCAATTTTCGTTTGTTCTGTTGTAGGTAGGTCGTAGGTGTATAGGAGGTATAGTATAGGCCCTAGTACTACACTACACTACCTTGGGGCACACTTGCATTGATGTCTTTGATTTGGGATATTTCCTTGCCATGCTTAACTTGAAATGTTCTATGAGTAAGATATGTACTTATTAGTAAGTAATACTCGTGGGGCAGCGTTTTCTTAAGTTTGTAAAGTAATCCTCTATGCCACACTCTGTCAAAGGCCTGTCGTACATCCAGGAAGACAGCAGTACAAAAGTTTTTATTTTGAAAAGCAGTTTGAATTATATTCGTTAAACGGTGGCACTGTTGAATAGTTGAGTGCTGCTGTCTAAATCCAAATTGGTGGTTAGGCAGCCATGTCTCTTGCAGCAGATTTTCATTAATACGTCGTAAGATTAATTTCTCAAGCAACTTTGACACCAGCGGCAGGAGGCTTATAGGACGATAGGAAGTGATTTCATTGGCAGGTTTTCCAGGTTTAGGGATAAGGATTATCTGCGCAAATTTTAATTGCAGCGGCCAATAGGAGAGACTAAGGATTCTGTTAAAGAGTATTTGTAGGAAACGAATTCCGTGGTCAGGTAACTGTTTGAGAACTATTGCCGTTATCAGGTCGTGGCCTGGAGCTTTTTTGTCTTTTAACAATTTTATCTCCTGTACAATTTCTCGAGGGTTAATTTTACATATTGGCGGTGACAGCTGGAGTGGAGATTGTAGTTCTTCTTCAACTTCCTCGTCTATTTCATTAGAGTTTGGTTGGAAGACGCCTTCTAGGTAATGTGCAAATGCTTCTGCTTTTTCTTTGTCGGACCTCAGCCATGAAGTTCCTTGATCGCGTATTGGAGGAATATGTGTTTTTGGTTTTTTTATGCCTTTAGTGGCTTTCCATATTGTATTGTCGGTGATAGTTAGTGATTTCAAGTATGCTTGAAATATCTCGTTCCGGACAGCTTGTAATTTGTTTCTGAGTTTATTGTTAAGTTGATTGAATTTCCTCTTATCTTCAACACTGTGTGTGCGGTGCCATTGTGCCCTTGCTTTTCTTTTCTCCTTGACAATTTCCATGCTTTCGTTAGAAATATTGGGGCTATGAATTTTAATGTTTTTTAGCTGGGGTGTAGCGGTCCAGCCCGCATTCTGTATCGTAGTTATGAAGTGGTTTGTAGCATATTCTAGGTCTTGTGTGGTTTTCAGGCTTAAATTACAGTCGAGGTGTTTCTCGATGTACACTTTGAAGGTATCCCAATCCGTCTTCCTGTTACTGATCGATGGGCTGGGTGTTTTATAGATGATACTTGTGCTAATTGTGACTATAACCGGAGAATGATCAGACGTAAGATAGTAATTTGAAGTAACATCCATGTAATTAGCGGAAAGCCCTTTGGTGATGAAAAAGTCTAAAAGATCTGGAACTTCTCCTGGATCCGATGGCCAATAGGTAGGGCTCCCAGTAGATAGAAAATTATAATTGTTATCGGTAATAAGTTTAAGAAATTCTCTGCCTTTTGTTGTAGTTAAGCGGGATCCCCAATGGGTATGCTTGGCGTTAAAGTCTCCACCTGCTATACATTTTTGGCCTAGCGTGTCAAAAAATGGCTGCAACGTTTGGTGAGTCAATTTGTGTCTCGAAGGACAGTAAATGGCTGAAATTAGTAATGGAGTTGTGAGCTTTTCAACCTGGATTGTCGTGACTTGTAAGAATTCTGTTTTGTAATCTGGTAGTTCCGAGTGAATAATAGAATTTCGAATAATTATAGCTGAACCGCCATGCGTAGTGCCATCAGGGTGTTCGGTGTGGTACACAGAATAGTAGGGTATTTTTATGTACGATCTGTTCGTGAAATGGCTTTCTGAGATAAGAAGAATGTCTATATTGTTAAGTTTGAGGAAATTACCAGTTTCAAGGTGTTTATATTGCAAACCATTGGCATTCCATAATGCTATTCGAGGAAAGTTAGCCATTAGTGAGTTAATTTGGTTATGACGGTGCTTAACATGTTCAGGATTATACTATTTTGTTCAAGAAGCTGGTTAAATAGGTTCATGAATTCATCAAGGAATTTTTGAAGTGTCAAGTCTTGGTTTGGGTAGGGATGGTTTGAGGCAATATGGGCGTAACTTAGATTAGATGGATGGGGTTGATTAGGGAGTTGTCGAGTAGGTTCTTGTCGGTTCAGATTTGGAAAATTTCGTTCTGTTAGTTGAATTGGAAAGGGTCTTCGAGTTGTTAATTGATTATTTGGTTGGTATTTTTTTCTAAGTTCTCGATATACTAAGCATCCCTTATAGTTGGCCGGGTGATCTCCCTCGCATAGTGCGCATGTGGCTTTAGTGTTCCTGGTTTTAGGACAAGTCATAGTATTGTGGGGTCCCCCACATTTTACGCATGCATAAGGTCTATTACAATATGTTCGAGTATGTCCGTAATTTTGACATCGTGTGCATTGAACTATTTCTGTGTTTTTCCTTGGGGGTTTAAAACTGACAACCAGGTTTTCTAGCGAACGAACGTTAAAAATCTCTTTGTTATTCTCGGCCGGTTCAAGGTCAATGAAGAATCTTGGAAGTGGTTCTTGTGATCGTTTGCTTTTTATGTTTATAATATTGCGCACTTTGTGCCCTACGTTGTTAAGAGCAGTTATTATTTCGTCGGTTGAAGTGGAATGATGGACATGTTTCAAAACCACCTTGTAGGGGCGATCTTCTTTCATTTGATAGGAATGATATATAATCTTTTGTTCGTTCATGTATTTTATTAGATTTCTGTATGTCTCGGGAGTTTTTGCATTTATCTTAACTACATTATTAGTTAGGCTCTTAGTTGTATATTGTTCGATTTCTGCTACTGCGGTTAGACTTTGTATCATTTGATCATACTTGATCACGCCTTGTACAAAAATGGGTGGCGGTTTATTGCCTATTGAAGTTTCTGATTCTTGTGTATTATTGCAAGTACCTAATGAAACTAAATACTTAAGCAATTTTTAAATTGCAAATTTAAAAATTGCTTAAGCATTTAGTTTCATTACTCTTAGAAGGCGTCAATAAGGGAAGATTTAATCGTAGTTTCGACGTAAGGTAAAAGTTTTATCTGGACAGATGTATTGTAAAAATCGTTATCGTTTTCAAGTCCCCTGAGGGTATTTGCAGGTTCTTATAGATTTTAACGAGTATCTATATTGAAATATATATCGGCGATTTTTAGAGGTCTGCTAACTTCTGGAAGATTTTTAGAAATCCTGGCTAATTGTTCAAACGTTTTTAGAGCTCAAACCGAAAGAATTCAATAGGTGTACACTGAGGCATAGATTAAATAGCTAGAAAAGTAATGACATACTTATATTTTTACAACTTGAACAATTAACACCTAAAAACTAAAGCCCAGCACTCACTAACACGATGTCTTTGGACGACGTTTCTATAGTCTGGAAATTACAACGTTTCCATTACCTCACGCATCATCAGGTTTCGGTTCTAAAAATCAGACAATAAACTAAAGCTAGTGCTAGCCATTTATCACTCCACCTCTTTTTTTAAAGAAGTACTTAGTTAGCGCTTGAATTGGTGATTCAATCGCCACTGTCATAATCAGCGCTGCTAGCAGACTAAATACATAGAAACCCCAAAATGACTGAAACTACGATCAATTCATGAAGATGAATGTCAAGATCAATACTTACCATGTCTTTTTCCTCCAAGTGAACTGAAACTTTTATATTTCCGTATAGAATTATCCCCATTAGAATGTGAACCAAGTACAAGGAGTACATTAGCCTAGATAGAATCCTGAATATGTTTGCCGAAAGAATATTGTTAATAACGCCTGAAAAGGGTTTAAGCAAATTAGAAAGAAAATACCTAAGAGCAGAGACGTAAGAAACAATGAAAATTGGTACAATGTTTAATTCTACTTCAGTATTGTGTGATCCTGTCAGATTTTAGCCCTATTCGTTAGAGTAGCTTGATTTTTAGTATAGCTAAATAATAAGAAAAAATAACCTTACCCCCAAATCCAAAGTGGCAACTGTACAACATCCAACATACCCCCAATGACCAAGCAGGGCGTCTCAAGGTATAAAATGCGTTACTTAGTTTATCATTGTCCAACCTGTGTTCGTTTCCCGCAAAAATGCATGTTATCAATACCGATATTGAAACAGCCCATGTCGCCAGCGCAGCCCACTGGAATAGCTTAATTAGTTGCGCGTAATTTTTTTGTGATTAGCAGTACGTGGGGAATGTTGGGGCGGTTTTTTTCTACCGAATGTTTATACATAATGTACCCCAGTATGAAACCTATAAGCCAAGATGATGCTCTGCTATGCGTAGCTGTGTAGTAAAGTGACATTGCAGGATATCTGAAATTAGAACAATTGATTGATTTGTTTCGATGATTTAGAATATAACAACATTTACAATAACAATACCTGTAGTTACTGTCAAAAAATATCATTACATAGCTTAGGTTATAATTGAGCTCAATGTGATGATCAATATCTTGTCTTTCCCTCCGCAACCTCGTTTCCTCATCTAAACCTGGCAATTATTTTAATGTTTCTCTTTCCCTCCCTTAGATTACTGCGGTACCCCAACGTTATCAACTCCCTATACCTTTCGTTTCCTCTTGAATCTCTATCCTCGATCACGGCAGCTGAACTTGTACATCTTTTTCCCTTTTTCAGGTTCTTGTTCTTTGTTCCCACCAAATCCGTTACCGTTGCCTTTTTTATGTTTGATTGTTTTTGGCATAAACGTGGAAATTTTTGCCCGAATTTAATGTCTTTGTGTAAACTTAGTCAACTAATCAGCATAATCGATCATTCATGATTAGAGCTTTGTTAAATTTGAATAAGATTCAAATTGTCCATTCAAGTTATTACGCTTTGTATGTGTAATGTAGCTTATAATTTTGGGAATATTTGAATATTTATGTACATGTTACTATATCTCCTTGGGGAGTTTATTTTTGTTTTCATATTTAAGTACAATAAACCAGTCTTTATTTTGGAATGTTCTCAATTTCATACGGGGAGAGGTATGCTAGAAATTGAGTGGCGATCAACCTGGGTAAACGCAACGAGAAGTTCGAAGACCATTTACCCAGAACGAACTACCGCTGTGCAAGTCTCTCAAACTCTTATTTTGTGTTTAACCCTGAGCTGAGAAGGCAGCTCCAACCCAACACCCGTTATATTTTCCAAAAGTTCTTCTCTGTTTTTATTTCCGTGATTTCTCCTTCATATTATTTCTGTTTCTTCATCATTTTTCCTTACATATTCTTTTGTACTTTTTTTATGTTCTTTCTCCTTCTCCTGGATGAGATGCTCCCAACTTGTTTGAGCCCTCTCTTCTACTCCTACTCAAATAAACAATTCTATTAAACAGTCACAGTTGACTATGGTTTCCGTTAAAAGAAATAAAAGTTTTGTTCGTAACTTGTCTTTAATTTTGCTTGCTTTTGTGCTACTTCAGGTAAAAGGATTGGTAAATAACGACCACTAAAGTTTTAACTTAAAACCCTTGCATACACACAAAGTGAGATGTAGGTTCCTAATACTATCACCGAGCCTGAGTGCAGAAGAAGATGGGCGATATATAAATTAGTGCATTACCATAAGACTCGCTACAGTACTTTAGTACGTTGTGGTACGGAAAGCACCATTACTGGCTACCATTATTTCGTGAATGTTTGGGAATATAATTATTACAAGATCCCATATAAGGTCAACCTTCGCTCATGTGTTTGCTGGGTGAAATACATTTTTTAACAATCTTAATATTTAAACATACACATTGTAAATGGGTTGCCTAAGAAAATGAAGTCAAGATTAATTATCCCTAGTTATCACATGGAGAAATCGCATGCATACTCTCTTACATCGATGCGTACACCATGATCAGCTGTTACTCTGTGTCCTCTTTCACCACCATAATTGTATGATTCTTGCAGTTCTTTGGCCTGTCATTAACCCCAGAACATAGAATTTCGAACGTGAATTACATTAATTTTAATTAAGGGTAGTTTTGACTTATTTTTTTAGACAACCTATTTGCAATGTGCTTGTGAACATATCACGATTGCATTTAAATGTATTTCACTCGGTATACAGATGGGTGAAGGTTGACCTTATGTGGGACCATTCGCACGTTACTATAGCACTAATGTCATGCGTCACTTTGGCAAATATTTCTTTGAATACCAAAATATTGCTAAGTACACAATTTGAATTTAAAGTTCACTTCATTTTCTAGAAATCTGGTGTCATTTTACGTATATTTCGTCATTCTTAAGTTGGCAAAACTGAAAAATTTTATGTGACAGCTTTCTTTATTTATAAACATAGGTGACAGCTAATTTTTGTAGGAAGCTATGTTAACTTCTTCGTCTACTAAATTGAAATGGGTGTAACGTGTATAGTTAATGTAATAAAAGTAGTATAACAGGTATGATATACAATACAATTTTAGGTTTTGTTCAACTTATACACCAAATAAGCGAAACTTCTGTCACTTGTGGATACACCTTAATAACATCACCTTTGAAGCGGATACAGTCTAAACCCCTGAATGCATTAGGGAAGAAGAATATCGTAGAGAAGGTTACACAAAGATCAACTTCTCTGTATCGATCACCGAGGGAGGAAACCCGGGCACTTCCTGCATGTTTCATGTGCCAATTCGTTCGTATCGACTGCCGATTAACTTTGGATTCCTTTTCTGTATAAATCGCTGCTTAATATCCACCCCTTTATAAATGTCGAGAGGGGAAGGAATATCGCTCGCATTTTGCATGGATCGCCTCTAAGTTAGTGATCACCGATTAACTTGGAACGCCTTTTCCGTATGAATCGCTGCTTAGCATCCACCGCCTTATACGGTCGAGAGAGGAAGTAATATCTGTTGCATCTTCATGTAGAGAACTACTTACTGCTATTATGATATAATTAAAAGCACACGTTAATAGTTGTATATATCATTGTTTAACGTTTATTAAATCGTGGAAAAATAACATAACCTCTTAAGAAATTAAAGGTGGCATTCAGGAATGTTAACAACACCACTACCAACTGAAAGACAATCATGAAATTTGGAGTAATATAACCTCACTTTTGACGAAATTAATTTTAACTTTTAATTAAGATTGTGGAAAATTTAGGGCTTCTTCCGCAAATTGTTTAATTGAAAACGTGTTATTAAGGTGCCCTCTATCCATTTCTATCAGTTTCATGATCGTACCTGGGGGGCTTATTAGCGTCACATAACCGATCTTTGAACTCACCCTAAATGAAATGGAGTATAGGCGTGTATTACAGTGAAAGTGACAATAGCAAACAATGTGTAATAACTTACGGATACACTCCCGACATTTGCATATTGAAGATCCAGCTCAGACCGAAGCAAGTTACAGCACTTAAAATAATAAGTACTCCCATTCCAGATAACGCAACTTTGGGCATTTTTCTCAATCCTAAAAGTAAAATAGGGGATAGCAAGTAAAGCTGCATATCAACTGCAAGGTACCATCCTTCAGGAACACACTGAACAGGAAGCAAAATTCAATCAAGAGTGAACTATTAATTTTAAACTTGCCTACCATATTCCACAACTCATTATAGTTTTGAACGTATAAGAGATTTTTCCACCACTCACTTGGACAGTTATTAGTTAGCAGTCCAACAGTTTCTAGCCAGACAGGCCCGAAGCTGACGTACTTGAGTAAACAGACTTGAAATAGCATTAATACTGCTATAGTCGGAGTTAACCTAAAGATTTACAGTTAAGCACAGTTAAGCGGTTCGAGAGTTATACCTTATATATCGGACGGAGTAGTAGGTAAATAGGTTTAATTTGAATTTTGAAGACAGAAAACCATAAGAAATTAGCACTGCCGATAGTACTAGGAAAGTGTCAACATTTACGGACGAACTCGTTAGATAACCACTGTGTGAGCTCATTATAAACTAAAAATGAAAGAGATCAACAAGGGTAGGTACCTATCGGAATATGTAATACCTCGAAAGCGTCCTGCAGGTTGGTGGCCGGTAGTCTTAATATCAACAGGTTAAAATGTGCGTAGGCAGTCCATGTCATGGCCATTACACGAATGCCATTCAAACACGTAATATCATTTGAGCTTTCTGTTACTGTAAAAAGCCTTTTCACATTTGTTAATACGGAGAATGATAGTAACCAAGATTTAGAGGTTTCTAAAGATTATTATAAAGTAGAATGTCAATGGAAGTGTAATACCTTTCTGGTAGTAATACAAGTAGTAGTCAAGTACAGTCGCCACCAATAAAATCAATCCGATACATCCAAACAAGCATCTACATACTACTTTAAGTTAAGTCACATATAAGATCGTACTTACAAGGCGACTATGGCTTTTACATCAAATTCAAGGACGTCATCGGACGTTTGACATTCGGTGCTTAGAGCGTAATTATTGAAGCATAACTCTCTGATATCTGTTTTAGAGCATGTTTTTGGAACACATATGGCACGCACTCTGGGCACTGTCCTGGTAATACCCTAAAACAGTAGTAGATGCAATGTACATTGGTTGTTCCGGTTCTGGTAACAACGTGCTTTATCCCTGAACGTAGTGAGATGAATACGTGCAAATGCATGAAAATGTTGTCAAGATCAATTGCATCACGTACCGTATTATTATCCGTCCGATACATGTCCAGTAAGCAATACTTCCCTTGAAATTTTTTTGACCCAACGTAGACATTAATACCTAAGCATTCGTCAAATGAACCCAAATTGACGTAATTACCTTCTAGGGATCCGGGTGAATGTAGTCCATAGGCATCCATCACTAGAATAAATTAACTCTAATTAGTCTATTAAGTTATTTTCAATGCACAAAAAAATCTGAATCACAAATTACTTGTCGATATCTTGTTGCAGTGTGTAGTGGAGCAAAAAAATTTGTAGCGTGGTTTGGTAAAACCTGTGAAAGTTAATTGTCGCAAATAACAAACATGATACAACAAATGAAAAAACAAATAAAACAAAAATTTGCATAGTGTAGAGAACGAATAGGAACTCCATAATCGACGCCACTCTCGTTAGTGACAACTGGTCCAAAAAGTGCAGGATTGGAACGTCGAGGCAAAAAAAGAAACGCTTAGTGACCACCACTACATATCGTAACACAAGAACTAACAACGGGGAGCTGGAAAAGGAAACGCTCAGGGCGGAATATAAGGCGCGTGGCATGGGACTAAAACAAATTAAACAAAATAAGAAAAAGAAATGTTGGGAATGTTTGCCCGACGAATTAGTCAGTGACGTATGGTGAAGGACATATTGGATTAACTTATTTTTCGCCTTGATGTCCATACCCGCGGTTATGACCACACCGTATATTTGTGGAGTCGACCGCCTCTGCTGAACACCCGGTATAAAAAAAGGCACTTCATTACGAAAGTGTATATGTTGGATCTAGGAGTCGAAGATACTAGCTAATGGTAATTGAGTTAATTTCTAGAGTTGTATTTACGCCGCCGCTACCGTAATTAACGCTGCAATTAACCCGTTTGCAACCGTTCCCGTCCGGATATATCAGTTGGTTTTGTTGCATCCGAAAGAAGAGGCCAAATTAATATTTTAGAATTTCAACCATGATAAGGCAGGTTTTTGCTTCCTATGGTAAATTAAAACTCCAAGTCCATGGCTAATTAAGTGAATGAAACTAACAGTAGCTAAATAAATGAGTTTCAGAAACCCGTCCGATTGTGATGGACCTTATCTCTAAAGAAGCGCTCTTAATTAACTTGAATGTTGATACCGGTCCCATATCTTTCCGATGTCGGGGAAGAGCGTAATTAATTGAAAACCTTTTAATTTGTTTAAACGTGTCGAGAGTATAAACGGACTGAGCGGTTATTTCAGTTTGTTCCTACCCGAAATGGACGTTTCGATAAATATAAAACGCACAATGAAATAGGATCTATTTGCATTTTGCATACTCGCCAGTTCCGTTGTGTAAGTACCGAAATTTTGAGCTTTGCCGTAAACCGTATTTGATCATCAATCTTTTACATTCTTTACGTTTTCACCGTCGTTAAATCTTGCTACCTTTTGCACTTTATTTGCATCCTTTCCGTTTCATTATGCTTCGCAATTAAGCACCGTATTTATTGAAATTAGCCTTTAGCATTTGCTGAACTCGTCCGATTTCTGGAGGTGATACCGCCGACCTTAGCCAGGGGCGAGACCGTACCAGGGACCGTACCCTTGGTGACGCTCGAGACCATCTTCCCGTCCGTCCGTTGGGTCGACCTAGCACCGACCTTGCTGATACGTTCCTCCGCTCCCATGATTTACTTATTATACTTTGTAAATTTATTTGAAATTAAATTGAAATTGCGAACTACCCCAAGTTCGTCGCAATAGGGGAAAGTGGGAAAAAAAGTACAAAAGGGCACAGACGTGGAAAGGGAGGGGGCAAGAGAGCAGGAGGAGTGCGCTGACCATTGTGGGATAACCGAGAAATCCTGGAAAAATTGTTCCCCCCTCGAACGGGTGGATGTTGAACGCCCATACTGTTTCTTCTTGCAATTAAGAATGAGAAAAATCAAAAAATACGTTTTCAATTCTGTTTCTTCTGACTACAACTCAAACCAACTTTTTCGTTACTATATTGTTATACAACTTGATTATTTAATCAAATTGTGCTAACATAGCCGGCCGCATTAAACGATTCGTTTAATTATTCATCTTCATTAAGCAATGGACATAAATTACGTACTGCCCGCTTATATAGTCCAGATTTTGTTTTAAAAGTCGCCACTCTGATGATGTTATCATCACCGGGATGAACTTCAATAACTCGTCCAATTTTCCAGTGCGCAGGAGGTGTATTATTTTGTTTAATTAACACGATAGTCCCTGGTTTGACATTATCTTGTGCTGTTTTCCATTTTGTACGAATTTGGAGATCTCCAAGGTAGTCCATTGACCAGCGATTCCAAAATTGTTATTGTAGCTTTGATAAATACTGCCACCTGGATAATCTATTAGTGGGAATCTCCACGAAGTCAGTATTCGGTATGGCCGTAAGTCGACGACCAATAAGGAAATGAGAAGGATGATAGTCATTAGGGGAAGAAGAAAGCGGGTAAAGAGGGCGCGAGTTAAGTAAACATTCTATTTCAACAATTACTGTTAAATACTCTTCATATGTAAGTAATGCATAGCCTAAAACCCGTTTTAGATGAAATTTAGTTGATTTTACGCCTGCTTCTGCTAGGCCGTTGAAATGTGGTGATGAAGCTGGGGAAAAATGCCACTTAATCCCTTCATAAATTAAAGACTTTTTAAATTGATCTACATTTTTGTTAAGAAATTCAAACATAGTTTTTAAGTCATTATTTGCTCCTATAAAATTACTACCATTGTCACTGAATATGTTATGTGGTTTTCCTCTTCTAGATGCAAATCTTCTAAATGCAGCTAAAAATGCGTTAGTAGAGAGATCAGACACTAATTCAAGATGACATGCCTTAGTAGAAAAACATACAAATATACAAATATATGCTTTCGTTATTTTGCATCCTCGTCCTTGTCTATCTTTTAATTTAATTGGACCACAATAATCAACCGCACAATTGGTAAATGGTGGTGACGGAGTGACTCTTAACTTTGGCAACTGTGCCATTATAAGAGCAAAAGAATTTGCTGCGCGTCTACGACAAATCACGCAATTTTTTATTACTGTTTTTGCAGTCATACGCGCAGACAATGGCCAAAATCTTTCTCTTATAATAGCAATGAGAGAATTAGGGCCGCAATGTAAATTCTTTGTGTGTTCATATTTAAACAAAAGTTTAGTAAAGTAATGTGATCGAGGGAGTATAATTGGATGTTTTTTCTCATATGCAAGTAAAGCTTTACTGAGTCGACCTGTAAGTTTTATCAAGCCATCATTATCGAGAAAAGGCGTTAATGAATTTAATTTACTACGCTTAGGACATTCCTTTCCCAATAAAAAGGCTTGGTACCTACTCATTAGGAAAACTTTCTTGTTGAATTACCTTTACGATTTTATTAAGTGCATTATTGCGTTCAATTAATGAAAGATGCCCAGTATTAATTTTAGAAGAATTCCGACTATTATTGATGAATCTTAAAACCCAACACATTACTGATACTAGTTTATTAAAATTCGAAAATTTTGAAATTAAATTACTTATTTGGTTTTGAAATTGCACTATTGTTAATATTTTAGGTTTTTGAATTTTTAACCAGGTAGGTCAATATTATTGTCATTGCATTCTGAAAAATACTCCGTGGTACTACATAACCTTTCTGGACCAAACCACCATAAACTATTAGATATTATTTCCTTTGGATATAAACCACGAGATATTATATCCGCAGGATTATGGTTTGTTGATACATACTTCCACGAATGTGAATTAGTTAACTCCAATATTTGATAAATACGATTCGCAACAAATGTTTTTAATATGTTAAGTGGAGTAGGTACTTATCCATCTTAAAACAACAGTAGAATCGGTCCATAAAATGCAATTATCAAATTGAATTCTAGACGATTTGAGTACTTTATTTACTAACTCTGAAAGTAATACTGCACCACAAAGCTCAAGTTTGGGTATTGTTAATTCTTTAACTGGGGCAACTCTGGACTTTGCTGCAAGTAAATGAATTTGCACATTTCTAAATTTGTCTGCTGATCTTATATAACAACAACCACCCTATGCTAAACGACTAGCATCGCAAAAACCATGCAACTCATTTATAATTGAATTCGGTAACCTTGTACAGCGTGGTACTTTCAGATTATTTAATATTTCCAAATTCTCGTTGAATTCTTTCCATTGAATATATAATTCATGTGGTAAGGGTTCATCCCAAGATAATTTAAATTGCCACAAATTTCGCATAAAAATTTTTGTTTTACATATTACGGGTGCAATTAGTCCTAATGGATCAAAGAGTTGAGCGATGTATGATAATACATCTCTTTTCGTCAGTGTATTTGGAATTAGGGTTGTATCAATTTTAAAACATAGTTGATCTTGGTAATGTAACCAAGGTAATCCAAGAGTTTTTAATATGTTACAAGAACTATCTGAAACTGTTTGATGTTCAATATTTTTTAATAACGAATTACTAATACTTTGAATTATTTCGGAGCTATTAGATGCCCACTTACGTAACGGCATTTTTGCAGATTGTAATATGTTATAAATGTCCTTTGATGTTTGAATTAATTCTTGGGCAGAATCACATCCGGTTAATAAATCATCTACTACGTAGAAATCTTGAAGTATAGCTATGGAAGCTTTCGGAAAAATTGCTTGTGACTCTAATCCAAGTTGATGCAAACACCGTATTGCTAAAAAAGGTGCGCTTGATGTTCCATAAGTAATTGTATTTAGTTTATAAGTTTTAATATTATCTTTTGGATCTTCTCTCCAGAAAACTAATTGAAATTGCCTATCTTTATCATCAACAAGTATCTGCCTGTACATTTTTTCTATATCTGCACTTACAACGAATAAATTTTGGCGAAAACGAATCAAAATTGAAAATAGATCTGATTGAATAGTTGGTCCAACCATTTGTAAATCATTTAGTAACTTACCAGATGAAGTTTGTGCAGATGCGTTAAAAACGACACGCAGTTTTGTTGTTAAACTTGATTCACGAATTATTCCATGATGTGGCAAATAATAATTTGGAGTAAAAGGTTCTGACGTAAGTAATGTAAGTAATGTCATATGACCTAATTGAATATATTCTTGCATAAATTCATCATACTTCTTTTTTAGATTAAGATTTCTATTGAACCTTCTTTCTAAACATTGAAACATTTTTAATGCATAATTTTTAGAGTTTCCTAAATGTTGTGTTGTACAATCCTTAAAGGGAATTCGTACAATAAATTGTCCTGAAGAATCACGTTTGTACGTAGATTTAAAATGATCTTCGCACAATGTTTCTTCTTTTGACCATACACAAATATTAGGCACCGATTCCAACTCCCAAAATTTTGCAAGTTGTTCTTGTAATATACAGTTATCTGAAACCTTCACTACATTACACGCAATAGTATGGTCATTTTCTTTTGAATTTATTGATACTGAAATAATCCATCCTAAAGAAGTATTCTGCAGTATAGGTTTATTAAAACCTAAAGAAATTTGACCTTCGCGCAATAAATGCCAAAAGAGAGATGCACCGATTAATAAATCTACATCTTGCGGTTCGTAATAATTTGAATCCGCTAGTCTTACATGATTAGGTATTTTTAAAGAATTGTTTATTAATCTATCAGGTAATCGCCCTGTAATCTTAGGCGTAATTAAACAAGAAATTGTTGTAATGAACGAATTAATTCTCGATTTTATTATTAGTTCGCATTTATTTTGTATATTGCTCACTGAGTTATTAATTCCTATCACCGATATTTTTGTTGGAATTTTTGTTAGACATATTGATTAAACATACTTTCAGTAATAAAGCATGATTGTGATCCCGAGTCCAACAAAGCTCTACAAGCAAAGATATTACCTTGTGCACTCATCACATGTACTATCACAGTTGAAAGTAAAATATTAGAATGATTGCAATTACTGCTAATAGTCATACTTATTTCTTCAACATCAGATACTTCATCATTTTCCGGAAATTCTGAAATTTGTCCCACATTTACTGGAGTCACTTCTTCGAAATGTAACAGTATATGATGCCGTTTATGGCACTTTTTACAAGTATCCGATTTGCATGTTTGACTCGCATGATTAAATTGAATACAATTTGTACACAGACCTTTTTGTTTTACTAATTGGTACCTATCCTGAGGGGACAAATTTTCGAACTGCGCACATGCAAATAGGTATTAAGTGATTAGCATTACAAATCGGACAAGATGACGTTTTTGAATGATTTGACACAACCTTATTTGATGTGACGTTTAAATTCATTTTAGGTTTACTATTATTGTATGACCTTTGACATTTATTGATTTTCATACAAACGTCAGCCTTTCTTTCTAAAAATATTAACATTACCTTTAAACTGATCCTGTTGTTATTATTTGCTTTATATTTCTCCCATTCTTTAAAGGTACATTCGTCCAATTTTTCGGAGATAACAGAAATCAACAGTAAATCCCAGTGCTCAACCGGTACCTTTAGAAGTTGCAAACAACGAACGTTTTTATTTCTACTAATCTACTAATTTTCTGATCGCTTCGGATGATTCTGTTTTGCAGTATGATAACTTCAATAATGATTTTATGTGATTATCAATAAGTACTTCTTCTTTATTAAATCGTTTTAGGAGAAGTTCCCATGCCACAGTATAGTTATCATCGGAAAGCGTGATACTCTGAATGATTCTTAAGGCTTCATCGGATAATGTTGATTTTAAATATTGAAATTTCTGCACCTTAGAAAGATTTGAATTACTATCTATAATTGCTGAAAAGCTGTCACGAAACTCCAACCACATATTCATGTGTCACCATTAAACTTTGGTAGCGTTAATTCTGGTAATTTAACATTCAGTGACATTGGCATATTTACAGAGGTTGACGGCAAGACATTTTCGATGGAAGAAATAGCTTTTGCTTTAGAAACTGATGAATAAAATAGTTTCAAATTCATTAAGCTCTTCTACATTTGTAGAAGTCGACCCTATTTCTTCTAGCTGAAGATGAATATGAGTAAATTCCTCAAGTATATTTTCAATTTTATTGATACGTAATTTAAGCTCAGATCTATTGAAATCGTTTTTTAAATCATTAATGTATGATGAGAAGGCATTAAGCTTGTTATAAAGAAATTCTCGTTTTACTAAAAGGGATTTTACATATGCTTTATTTTTATTTGACATTACTGGTCAAAATAAAATTCAGTGCGTTATGAATTATTTTAAAGCAAATTAGAATGATCACTCTTACCTCGCAAAAGAAATTGAGAATTTGTGGAAAGGATATTTGGTCGTTGACACTGTTAGATGATCCGCAAATGGACAGATATTGGATTCTTGTAGCTTCCGATTGAATATTGTTGGTACGAATCGACGAATTGGCGATTCACGTATTATTGCTTCGGTAGAATTGATTCTTCGTAAAGCAGGAGGTTACTTTTTGCTCGGGCGCCAAATGTTTCTTCTTGCAATTAAGAATGAGAAAAATCAAAAAATACTTTTTCATTTCTGTTTATTTTGACTACAACTCAAACCAACTTTTTCGTTACTATATTGTTATATAACTTGATTATTTAATCAAATTGTGCTAACACATACCGCATGGATTGTGATGACTGCCAGTATACTCTTGCAAAGCTAATATTGAAAATGAACTTCTACAGTGAAAAGCATCTTAAGAGGAAAAAGACAAGTTCGGAGAAATAAAGGGACTGTATGCACATAGATTGTACTTGCAGATCCAGGAATGGTTAGGAAACCCTCTACCTCCCATTGATTAGGCATTCGAGAAGGACGAGGATAATCACTCATCATTTACCATTTACAAAAAATGTATGATAACTACCAGGTGACGAAATATTCATTTAATGGTTCATATTCGCCAATTGCTCACATAAAAGTAAGTGGTGTTTGCTAAGATTCAACTACTGCAAACAACATGCGAACGAAATTGTTATGATTAAGGCCGCTGCTTTTATTACTTAAAACCATAAACGTCTAAACTAATGAAAATTATACATTAATTTCCATTAAGTATGCAAAATATAGGGCCCAAATTTCATGTTGACGGAGACCATTTTGCACGATTTGCAGCTGAGCTCTGCACAGGTTTTAAAAAAATGCATCCACTGCAGCAGTATCTATAGAAAAGTTTGGCGAAGAAATCTGAGTAAATAACAAAAATAGCAGACAGTAAAAGCATCCTTGAGATTAGAAGTCCTGAACGTCTAGTTGAATCCCGTTTATTACTCTTGTCGCTACTATACTTAAAGTAGGTGTTATAATTATAAGGATTAAAAAGTTAATTAATGTACACTTCACCCCTCCCCATCTTATCTACTTCAAATCTCCCATATGTCATGCTTGTCTCTCCTTAATGATCTTTCGTATAATCCAGCGTGTCCTTCGCGCCTCTACCATACCACAGAGTCATCCGGCCATGTCCACTCACTCACATACTCACCTCAAGTTATCCGAACCGCCCTTATGATTCAATCAGCTTTCTTTATGCTTTCAGTCCGATTTCCTAGACATTCTTTTACCTCTCCTCGAAACCATACCCGTCCGCGTCCCGGCCTTGTTTGCGCAACCTTCTTTTCTTCCCCACCCCCTTCTTTTTTTCCTACACGCCTCCTCCGAACCTTTTTTTAAGTATCCGTTACATTTCACCTACACTACTCCATATTAACGTGTTATTCACCTCACCCTCACCTCTGCTTTTAGACCATCATAAGTTACATCCACGCATATCTCACGTGGCATTCACGCTCAGTTCTGGTATTCCTTCCCCACGCTTCTTTCAGAACCTTTTCATTCCTAATGCAAACCTTCTTCAGTACAATAGTACAACGACACTACTCCCCTAGAAAATTAAAGTATTCGGCCCCTAAGGGGCCTCGTACTTCAACATTTCCTGGTCAATAATGTGTTATTTTCCTTAAATAGTTATTTATTGCGCATATTCGTCGATTGCTCACATAAAGGTACTTGCTAAGGCAAAAAGTTCATTTAGTTCAAACAAAGTATGAGCGAAATGGTCATAATTATAGCTACCACAAAGACCGCTGCTAAAATTACACAGGTCAACAAAAAATAATTTTTTTTTGTGCATGGGATTTACATAATATATTCTGACTATAATAAGCAAAAATAAATAAAAAGTGCAATTAGACATCGAAAATATTTGCTTTTACAAAAGTTATAGCAATTTGATTGAAAGCTTTCAGGGGCGAAAATTAAAGCTGGAATCTTTGTTTTCCCTAAAAAAAAAAAGAAAAATGGAGGGTGATATCTTCCCGCGGTTACTTAGCAAAGAGGAAAAAAATCCTGGAACAGTTTTAAGGCAATAGTCCATGGTTTCCCGTTCAGTGTTTCCTGGGAAACCATAGAGCTAAAAATTATGACGAGCTGACGGGTTTTGGTTTTGCATCATCGAGTATAAAATGTCTCTAAAGATGCACAGGTTAGATTCTCATTTAGATTAATTTAAGGATAATATGGGATAAAATATAATAACGAACAATACTTACTTTTAAGTGCCCACATTTCTTTTTGGAGTAAACCATTTTGTAACATTTGCAGCTGATGTTTGCACTCACTCGAAATATTAGCCTGTCGTATGATCTTTGCAAAAAATGCGTCCATTGCGTCTGTATCTATAAAAAATTTGCCTGCTTCTGTAGTTTGCGAAGAAGTCTGAGTAAACAACAAAAATGCACATAACACCTTGAATGGGAACATCTTAATTGTAACTTGAACTGCCAGTTTCTACGTACAAAAAGGATCATTGAGATTATTATAGTCCTAAACGTCGAGTTTAATCCCGTATATTGCCCTCGACGCCACTGCATTTTAAGTCGGTGTTATTATAGGGATTAGTAAATTAATTCCTTCTTAACAGACACCTAATATGGAGTCCTAATGGCATTGCGCTACTGAAATCCTTTGCCCGAGGCTGAAAAGAACAAGTTCCATACACTTTGACCTTTGGTTACTTTCAAATTCTTTACTACTGTTCCTTCACTGGTGCAAATACAGGTTCTATCTTCACGGCTTCACTAAGTTCATTTACAATGGAATCCTTTCAATAGCATTTTCGGATATACTCGACCGCCTTTCCTGTCTTCTTCAAAAAAAGAGGGTGGCTGAGTTCACTGCTGTTTTTAATAGTTGGTCTTTCGTTTAAAGTCACCAAACGAATGATTATGTTTAAATAATTTATAACAACCCTGAAATTTCCATTCAAAAATAAATTTCCTTGTTTTAAACTTAAGCCGTTTCCTAGAAAATTCACACTTAAGTGTATAAAATCGTCTCCACGTAAGTATTAAGTATACGCAATTGTATGTCGCTTGAACAATATCTTTTTAAACTACGCTGTTTATATTTTAAAACGATACCGAAACTACGAAATTGGCAACAACTACGAAAGGTGGCAGTACTACGACTACTCCTAGTGTTTTTAATTGTGCACCAGAGGTTTCGGGTCACGGCTTTAATTCAGAATGGAAATTATTGGTTTCCAGCTGCTTTCTGCTCGGACCGACTATAGAATTCCCGCCGTGTTACCGAAAGTCAGGTACGGGATGCGACAACACCGCCGGCTGCAGTACCAGACGCCTCTGGGTCGACAGGACTTGAGCTTGGGCAAGTCACCTCTACCCCTAGCAGACGACTGAGACTGGCCGGCTTAAGATTTCCAAACCGCCAGGAGTAGGCACTTGGGCAAATTGAGGCTTGTGCGCACCGAACCCTCCGCTACCGCTGGGCGTCACCGAACCCTCCGCCACCTAGCAGTGTAAGCTGCAACGAAATAAATACTTCCTTGTTTATGTTGTGCTTCGTCACGCCATCACCTGGCCACCTGGTCCTCGACCTGGTAAACATTGGCGCCCGACAACGTGGTTCTTCGATGGCAACACGACCTCGACGACACCCACGCCCACAAACTGGTAATGGCCACGTCAGCCCCGGCAACAGCACAACCAACATAGCCATGCAGCAGAACCCTGTTACCAGTCCAGTGGCGCCCATCAACTATGGTAAGGACGCTAGTAGACGCGCTACAGAAAACCAGGCTTCCATACTTCAGCGGCGACCAGCTGGAGGACTTCACTACCCTAGAACAGAAAGCTGTTAAAGAAAATCTTGCACAATTAAAAGGCGAAGCTGCGCAATGGTGAACCACCTACCAGGTATTTTCCCAAGCTATCACGACCTCAAACAATTCCATACAGAGGAAGTACGACAACGATCGAACTCCTGGGAAGCTGAATATCGAGTTCTTCCCCAGGAAACAAAAGGGTGCGTTCGGCTACGTCTTTCTCCAGTGGAAGTCCCAAATAGCGAAGCGTCTGGGCATCTGAATTGCCGACCATATTGACCTCTTGAGTTGTTACATCCTCGTGTACGACCTTTTTTAAGCAGCGTGCAAAGTATAAGTCCCATTGATCTCGTACGTCTCGCCAGTAGTTTTTAACACGGCCACAAAGCCTCCGCCCATGGCACTCCAACTCTACTCGCAGCCTTCAAACATCCATCGAACACTCCCAAGTGCCACCATTGCCCGGAATGTCATTTTCACTGGCAAGTACGGCTTGACGCACACGTGAAACCACTCACCGCCTTCTCCAAGCTACCACTTTAGAGGCATTCCTTTTAGGCTTAAAAACGCCCCAGCTACGTTCCAAAAACTGATTACTCCGGTCCTAGTGGGACCTGCGCATTGGTTTACCTCGACGACATAATCGTTCGCTCCGACACATGGAAAGACCACATCCGCCATCTCCATCTCATCGTATAAAGACAACAACAGCGTTGCCTCCGGACAGCTAGCGACAAATGCCACTTCGAGGTACAAATCATTCAATACCTCGGGCACATAATCACAGCAGCCCAGCCCAAAGCCGAACACGTCGAAGCCATCCGCGCCGTTGAGAAACTCACATCCCGCAAACAACGGCGCAATTTCCTGGGCCTAACGAACTGACCTCGGGGATACGTCTGCCGATGCGCAGATCTGCAAGCAACGCTCGACCAGTTACTCAAGCAAAACACACAAGAACCAGGAGCCCAATCCCGCCCAAAGAATATTTTAAAATTTCAGGCACGTAAGTCATTATTAGCAGATTTTTGTTTCCAAACTTAAAACGAGCATTCAAACTGGAAGACCATGCGGGTTGATGCCGTTATCAGGTTGATAAGCGACCGTTATGACGGCTTGAGAAATTCCAATTAAAGTAGGTTTTAGTTGGTCTACCGATTTTAGAAATTTCGATCCGGCCAATCAAGTAAGTACTATTAACAGTAGCTAAATAAATGTATCAAAAAAGCGCTCGTAATTGATTTGGAATTTAGGACCAATTACAGTTTGTAATTCGAATAGTATGTTTATCTTTCTACCTTTTGCACTTTCGCAAGCTACGTTTTTAATTTCCCGCTCCGTTTAATGGAAATGTAAGCTGTTTGTTACTTTCCGTTTCATTAATTAGAAGGCGGGATATTGTTTCGCTTTCCTGCATTTGTTTTCCAGTAGATACCGTTACTGAATGCTTACCAATCTCGCTTAGGTAAATTGCTGTAAGCTTTAATATTGTTTTAGCATTAATCCGTAGCTATCCGACGCGTGCCCTTTAGAATTCGTAGAGCTGACCTTTATTCCCGATGCTTACGAGACCGTTCCGCCCGACCGCTGCTACCGCCAACCTTGACCAGGAGTAAGGCCGTAATTTTGGTGGCACTGGAGTTCATCGGTCCGTCCGTTCCCCCGAATAACAGTTTTGATTCACAGTCCTGAAGCAGGTTACATGGTCGTAAAAATGAATGGATATCTTTTATGAAAGAATCTGTTTATTGTCTATAAATTATATAAAATAATTAAGGTAAGGCTTATTACAAAATGGCGAGTTCGTCGCGTATGGTTTTCTCCAAGCTAATTGATTTCCCCATTACGCACTTCTAAAATTGAAAATTATGTACCTACACAATAAATAATGAATGACTCAGTCCCTCACTAGTAGGCTTCCTTAAGAGTCGTTTCTCCATTGAAATGAGTGGTGATTCGCATGCGAGCGTTAGTAAAAGAGATGAGAAGAAAGTCATCACAAAATTGATCCACACTGATTCCAGCTAAATACAATTTAAGGAACACTGCTTTATAGAATACACAGTTAAGAATTTTACCATAAAAGAGTAACCTATAGCAGCATTCATCTGGTATTGTTCTGTCGTTGTAGTTTGTATCAGAATGTGCGAAATGTAGGCTGTATACGTTAATCTGGAGAGTACTTTGAATGTTGCACTCGATAGGAACGAATTGATTACTCCTGTTAAACAACGGAAAGCATTTTGGAAGTTATGCTTGCTACTTACCCCCATATCCGAAGTGGCAAGCATAAATGACCCATCCAACGCAAACTGCCCATGCAGATCGTTGGAGGGCATTGTTGAACGCATTTCCCAGCAAAGAAGCCCTATTGGCTACAAACACCTCATACTCCAGAAGAACACAAGTGACTAGAATGGCAATAGACGCAATCCAAAAAACTAGAACGCACATCTAAGCTGGAGCTAGATCATGCTAGGAATGGTAATTGAACTTGCCTTATTCATAACGATCCTCGACCCTTCTCTTTTAAACTCTTGGAGCAGGTAACCTAACATAAATCCCAGAAGCCATGGAGCTGCCCTGCTATAAGTGGCTAAATAGTAGTATCTCATAAATTTCTCCCTGAAAACGGCAATAATGCGCAATTAAGAATTCAGTCGAGCCTTTTTACCCAAATACTGGTTCGTGCAGCTTGAGAGTCCACGTTAACACGAAACTTGTGACGATACTGCAAAGTGTTAGAGCTCCCGTTGCGAATAGTGTTCGATTGGGCCATTTCAGTAATGGGAGAAGGAGAAGAGGTGATAGTAAGTAGAGTTGGGTATCTACGCTCAGAAACCATGTCGGGTTAATACACTGAAAATTACACAAGCTTTTATTAGAATTTTGTAGATAAATTACTTATGATAAAAGTGACTCAGTATAATAAAGAGACCCGAGGAAAGTAATGCGATAAATCGATATAAATGGCGTTGACGCACATTTCTCAGAAATTAAGTTGAATAAACCCTCAAGGATTGGATAAAATGAAGGGCAAAATTTGAGCTAACGCAATCAAGAGATATTCCTACATTAATACTATGCTAATAATTAAAACATGATTGTACCTTTGCACCCAACTTACTGTCAAACGAAAGGATTCGCCAAAGTGGTGGATGATAGACTAATACGTCAACTTACCATGTCGCTCATAGAGTCATAATTTTGGATGTATAATAAAGCTTTCCACCAATTTTTTCTACACCCAGAAACCAGTTTTTCAATCGTAGCGGGCCACAATGGACCAGATCCCATGTATTTCAATAAAAATGCATACAAAAGGATTACCACCCCCATAGCCGGCGTTAATCTTATGTATCTACGAACGTAGAATATGAAGACGTTGAATTTAGCTCCTCTTCTAGAGTATATCATGAAAACATACGACAAAGTCAGTCCGCTTATGAAGAAGAACGTATCAACTGCGTTATGGGCGCCGATGATGAACATACTCATGTTAGTGTTGAAGAACTGAAACGACAAAGGTGGAATGTCAATTAGCGATCACTTGGCTCACTTTTAAAATGAAACTCATATTACGAATCGGGAGATGAGTGTATGCTAGGCAGTAGTGTGCCATTATAATCCACATCATGCTAAGTACTCGAATGCCGTGCAAACACGAAATCTCATCTTCACTCCTGGTTGTAGTAAAAAGCTTCTTTGCGTTCGTGTAGAAGGAAAATGTATCAAGCAGCCAATGAGGGGGTGCTAAAATACACAGTCACCATTATCATAGTCATTCGCTGTATCGGCAACCTTTCCCCAAGCGCTGAACTGTCATAACGTAAGCGGTGCTCAGCACCATGCAACAGAGCCACGCTACAAGAAAAATCCTACAAGAAATTTATTGGTGTATTCCTCTACAAGGTTACCTACAAGACAATGGTAGCTGCAACATCCAACCGAGGAAAACTTTCTTTTGTTTGACATGAGCTTTCCGATATTGATATTCCACTTCTGTTATACAGGCCACTAACGTCAGTTGCTGTACATCCGCTTGGTATACAAATACCAATACTGATTTTTGAAGTATCCTGAAATGTTGGTCTACGTCAATGAATCTCTGAGTTGTACACTTACAGAAAGCGCAAATTTCCCGATGCAATATTTGCCAGCAAGCAAATGGCCTTCGTCGATGTTGATACATTCGTCGAACGACCCCAGTTCGAAAAAGTTTCCATCCAAAATACCAGACGGAATTTTTCCATGCGCATCTAACACTACAACACCGTTAAAATCTGTGACTATGCAAATTACTTACTCCTCAACGCCCATGGTTTGCCCTGCGTAAGATCGGTTATGTATTGTTTCAACTGCTGCGAGCAATTGCTAGACATAGCAAACGGTTGTAAGTCACCAAGATAAGTCGAAAAGTTATGCGATATCTGTACAAAGCCCCGAATTTCCATATTTTGGAACAGTGACAGAATTGCAAGAAAACTGATTGGCTTCATTTAGTGGCACAAGTGAGATTTCAAATGCATTCGCTTCAATGCGCTAAACTTATCGCAGAGTGCATTAATCATAACGCAAAATCAATTAATTTCTTCACACGTTATCACTGTGTATTTCCACAGTGATTCGTACCGTAAGCTTATCTTGGTTGTGTATTTGTAACTGTGTGATTTTTGATACGGTAATCATTTCTTCGCTTAATTCCATTTTTTTATCATCTTAATATGCGGTGCCTAATAAAATGCTTAATTTCCGTTGCTTCTTCCTTTACATCTCTCACTGGTATTGTGATCATATTCGCAATTTTCCATGTGGTAGTAGATTCTATTGGGAATTCTAGGACAAATTAAGACGTGGATCAAGTAGATAATTCCATGGGTCAGTAGGCTCAGTAGAATTTTTCCCATACTACGTAACCTCAGAGCCCGACTCACTACATTCTTAGGTGCTGTGGTCCAGATGGACTTCATGAGTGCAATGCAATTCTGAACAAGAGCTTTCCGCTAGTTGTCACTGTGATCACGTCACGCTACGTCGTCCTACAATTACATCCAAAGTGACGTAAAGGTGCGAAATTAATTTTTTAGGGCTGACAGTAGTGCAAATACAAAGATTGTTAAACCAAATAAAAACAACTAAGGGTGCAAAAGAAAAATTAAAGAACTTCTTGTTACACATTCTAAAATCAGACATCGTTTGCCGCAACACATCTGATCAGCTACCGGTAATTATGCTTACTTAAATGGCCGGGTTGAAATTCCAAAATTCGGTACTCCATTAGCATCCATTGTTGATTGAAATTGAAGTCAAGCGAGAGGTCTTGCAAGTTTAATTTTGCTTTTAAATTAGCATCGGCTGATAATAAACGGAACGAAAATCAAATCATATTAATTACCTCTAGTCTTCCAAATGCCGAGGGCCTTCAGATACTGCAACAATAATTAAAATACCTCTACGGGAACAATTAAAAAGCTGAATAATTAAATCGGAATCTTTGTTTCTTATCAACGGCTAAAACGGCCGTACGCATTCCAATAATTAATTCTACATTTCATTGTCCCTGCCTGGAGTATAAATAGTTGTGTACATAGAAGTTCGATTTTATCTACATACCGTGCGTTCATGAAACCCGGTAATTCAAAAAACACAATGTGACACGCTCAAAAATGAGAAATGGTGCAAAGGAAATGCACCTAGGGTGTTCAAACTGGTGACGAACCCGAAAGAAGGCAACAGACCTCCATTTTGGTATTTTAGAAGGAACTGAAACCAACAAAGGTTATACGTTCGCGCTTGTGTGGGGAGGTATATGGTTATTGAAATATTTAATGTGTATTTTCAGGTGAAAGGCTGACATACAGAAAAGCGGAAAACTTAGTAGTGGAGGCGCAGTAAATTGAAATAGGAATTCGTTAAACACAGTTTTTAAAATTCCAAAGGTTGTTGGTAAAATATTCACTCCCCTAAGAAACTCGCTACCAGGAAAGCAGGTGGTCGCTTAACCTTTTTCAAAGGTATTTTTTCGAATTTGTATTTTATTCAAGATAGGAAAATTTACACATATACCGCTTCATAGCGAACGTGCACGAAAGAACCTATGTCCACAAGAGTGCTTAGGTCCTAAATTTGTTTCATTCTTTTTAGTAGTTTAGCTTCAAACTTGAATAATTAGCCACAAAGGTAAGTAATTAAATCGTATAATTTTTTCGGCGGAACGGGAGTGCTTCGGGCGCCACCAGAAAGCTTCTCTTACTTCTGGATAAGATGGCGGTTGGCTCCAGGTAACTCGAATGGGGAACGGTGGTCCTAGGAATTCTAATGGGCAAGCAGTGGGCGGCTACTGTTGAATGCTAAACAAACTTCAAGCACACATCGGATTCAGTAGCGGTTTTTACGGGAAAGCGAGACAATATTCCACCTTATAATTACTGAAACGGAAAGTAGCAAACACTTGACCTGGCAATTAACGGAGCGGTAGCAATTACTGTGCAGAAAAAAACAAAAGCTATAGATACGGTGCGCTAAAGGCAACATATAAACGGTTTGAATGCAAGAATATTTACGGAAAAGTTCCAAATTTAGCGTACTTACGACAAGCAAAAATGGCAAACAGATCGCTTTTCGTAGTGTATTCTCTATTTATCGAACCGGCCATTTCGGGTAGGGACAACTGGAGTTCCCATCCCGTACGCTTCGATAACTTTAGAAAATGAAAACCTTTTTTAATTAATTACGCCTCCTCCTGACGTCGTAAAAATACAGGACCGGTGTCAAAATTAAAGTTTTTTAAGAGCGCACCAACGGATGTAATCCTGACTTATTCGGAAGCGATTACTGTAACTCATTCAACCAATTACGGTTAATTATTCTTATGCAAATGATCAGAGTGAAATCCCCCAATTCGGCATTTTAATGTTAATTATAATCCGCAGGTCAAACGGCGGGATCATAGATATCACCTGGTGTCTACGAAAGCTTCACGACCTTGCCTTTCGGAGTGACTTATCTTCATAACGAAGGGGCCAACGTTAAATGCTTCTTAATCCCGGGTGTTCATCTACAGAGTGATCACTAAAACTTTAACTTTAAATCATGCTAATTTGCTGTCACATTCGGTGATGTGTAAAGAAAAATATGGCGTCAATTCTCCGTCTCACTTTGACTTTACAGTACAGGTTCTTATGACCACCAACGAAACATACATAACACTGTAATAAGACATTTATCTGTTTGTCTGATGTCAAACTGGGTGGGGACACAACTGGAGCCGGGGTCTTGGTTTGGAAATTTTGTGCTTTTATTATGTGGAAAAAAATTATTTCAACAACATTCGTAACCTTTTTGTCACATATTATGTACCTTCTTCCTTACAATTACATTTTTCCTGGTAATTGCAGATTTGACATTTATCTGCTAGATTGGTGTCATACTGATAGCGGCCGCAAGGAGCAGGTCCGAGATTGGGAATACTTTTTTCCCGCGAAGATCTAAGAATTCATTTCGTTAAAAATCGTAACCTTTCTTCCACAATGGCAGGTAACAATTTTTTTGTTATGCAGATTCGAGATTTATGTTCCGGACTTTTGAACTTATTTTTCGGGGTTGCCAAAAAACATTTATTTCGTGAACTATCGTGGCCTTCTTGCGAATTATTTGGCGCCTCTGTAATAAGCTGTAACAGGAGGTCGCTTATCCGTTTTTAAAAATTTGGTTTTGAATGTATTTTGGTCAATATCGAGAAATTTCCATATGTACCGCTTCATAGCGAACGTGAACGAAGGTATGTCTGGCGATAACAAGCGATAACGTATTGCGGAAAGCGAGCGCGATTGCCACGATCACTTGTGCACTAAAAGTTTCGTTTCTATTGGTTGTTAGGGCACGCCAATCACTTCATTTGCGTTCAGAAATAAATCCCGTTTAGGGATTCTCGTGAGCGATATTCAAAAGGGAAAAAAGGGGGAGAGTTAAAAATTGATTCTAAGTTGACTTTCTCAAACAATCTCATACAATTTTAAGTACGCTGTAAACTGTAATTAGTTTTCTTTGAGTGAAAGAAACCAGCTAGTTGTTTTAATTAAAGAATCGTGCAAGTAAAATGAGATTGGTGACAAAGTGCGAGTATAAGCTTAATTTTGCATTGGCACGGTAGTTTTAGCCCAATTTGTAACAAGGCCGTTCATCTACGCGTGATATTTACGCGAAGGAACATTTTCAAGTATTAAAACTCATTGTGATAATTCTTAATACTTTTCCTCGGTAGCATCACAACGTATCAACTCTTTCATTTTATGGTAAAGGTAAGATTAAATTATAAAGCTCGTAAAAAAAGATCTATTAGCATATGAGAAACATATATCAATGTCTCCTTAGTAACCTTTTCTCGATTGCGATGAGTGGAGATTCGAATCCTAACGTCAATAAAAGAGAGGCAAAGAAGGTCATTGCATAATTGGTCCATACTATCGTCAACTGCAAAAAGAGGTCAATGTAGTAACCCACTGTGAGATGTGTAATTTATCTTACTATAAAACCGACACTAACGACCGGATTCATCTGAAAGCCTTCCATCGTTACCGCTTGAACGAAGATGTGAGTTAAGTAGAAGCTAAATGTGAGCCTTGATAAGACCTTAAATACTGTACATGATAGGAATGCGTTCACGAGACCTATTCAATTGAGTGATTTTTAGCAAGAACTCTTCGGTGTTGCTTAATACTTACGCCCATATCCAAAAGTGCAAGCGTAGATGACCCACCCAATGGCAACCGCCCAAGCAGTACGCCTCAGTGCGTTGTTCAATCCATGTTTCCATAGGAGGCCTTCTGTTGATACTAGCAAATCGTGTTCAGCGAATACGCAAGTGATTAAAACCGCTAAAGCAGTAATCCACATGGCTACAACAAACACCTAATCCTACGTTAGATTGTCCTACAGACCGCATTTGTAAACTTACTTTATTTAGTACCACCCTGCCTGTCCTTGTTTTGGTGTCGTATATTAAATAACCGAGAATGATTCCAACCAGCCATGGGGCCGCTCTAGTATACGGTGGCAAGTAAATGTACGTCATGTATACGCCACTGAAGTTGGTTAAATGAGCAAGTGACGTTTATTTTACTGTAACTCACCCGTTCTCTATTTTGATTATGTTGAAGATCCACGTTAATACAAAGCCCGCCACCATGCTGCAAGCGGCGAGGCACGCCGTTACAGCTAGGACAACATTTGGCCACTTCAATAACGGTAGCAAGAGCAGTGGTGACACCATATACAGTTGCATATCAACGCTGAGAAACCAAGTCGGTTCCATACACTAAAAAAGCTTTTTGTAAAGCACCCATGGATGACCTCATCGCATTTGACATACCACATCGTTCATAGTACCAAAGTTTTGAATGTACAACAAAACCTTCCACCAGTTCTTCTCGCACGGACCGGACAGGGTTTCAACGATGGACGGCCACAGCGGGCCTGACCCCATATACTTCAGCAAAAACATGTGAAACACCAGCATAATTCCTACCGCCGGTGTTAATCGAATGTATCTATGTGCGTAAAACACCAACAAATTTAACTTGGTGCCTTTCTTCGAGTGCTTCACGAAGACATAGGCCAACGTTAGTCCACTCAACAAAAAGAACGTATCGACCGCATTTTGTCCGCCTAAGAGTATCATACTGGAGGGAGTGTTCATGAACTGTAACAGCAAACGTGGGTTTTTTATTTTGGACCGAGTCACTACACACCTCAAGAACGAAGTTCAGGTTTCGAATCGGTAACCGTCCGAATAGTAAACCCCAGTGTCCCAGTATGATCCACATGATACTGATAACGCGGATTCCATGCAAACATGAGATCTCATCGTCGTTCTTGCTAATTGCAAACATTTTCCTTCCATTTGTAAAGAAGGAGAAGGAGATCAGGAACCAATGCCGCGACACTATGGTTGACTATGATAGCCATTGTTAATCTCAAACGGCTTACCTTTCTCGAGCTGCTGCGTTATCGCGTCGTAGATTGTTGAGAAAATTATCCAACAGAGTACCATTCCTAGGAAGGATCTGAAAGTAACATTAGTCATTGAGGTCTGGACTGGCACGCACCTACATGACAATTGCGGCACCGACGTCAATTTTGGGTTGAGATTCTTTACTTTGGCAATTGCTTTCCGAGAATGAAAACCCAGTCCCATTGTAAACACCTTCGAGTTCTCGTGCCGTGCAGGCGCCTGGTGCGCAAACGCCTAATTTTAACCCGAATGGAAGCTTACCAACGCAGTACTTTCCAATAATGGTATCTTCTGCCATCGTCTCCTCTATGCTCATGCATTCGTCGAACGATCCCAATTCGTAAAAGTTACCCTCAAGAATTCCAGAGGGATTCTTCCCCGACGCGTCGAACACTAAAACGACATTACTAGTACGAAGAAAAGAGGGGTTAGTGTAACTCACTCTTTAACGCCCACATCTTCTTGCCGGCGAGATCCTTGACATATTGATTGAGTTGCTGCAGACAGTTCTTCGACAGGTTAGCATTTTGGAATGCAAAACTTGCCACGTTGGAAGTATGATTAATTCCTCGTATGTCTTCTTCTGGTAGGAAACCCCGAGTTCCAAGAAAATATGGAAAAAGGGCGCTGACGAAGAGAGTAGTCGCCTTCATTGAAATGTGGAGTGACACTGAAGTTTAGAGGTCCGAATCTCTTAATAAAGGTAACCGGGTAATTTTTATCGATTTGATAATCGCGATTTGTTTTGAAGTGTTTTCAGGGCGTGAGAAAAATAATGACAATATTGCAACTACCTTAACAATTACGTCCATGTTCGTTAATCAGTAATTATATGTTCGTATATTTAAAGGTTCAACTTTTCGGATAAATATAGATACAGCAATGGCTTTGACCCCACTTGAGTGTGCTGCCTACTCGAGAGTGCTGGATCTAAAGTACACGCAAAGCCTTATTTACGTTAGTTTTCGGTTGGTGCTACTATTTTAATTAATTTATCACATGGAGATAAAAGTGTTTTGGCTATGACTATGCGTAGTCATTTGCCGTAGTTTATAATTTCGTTTTCTAGCTAAATTTGTTTGTGAAAAACAAATCATTGTATCTAAATGATTTAAATTATACTACATACTGCAATAATGGGGATTTACAAAAAAAACACAGGACTGATTTCTCCAACCAGAAAGGTCGAGCAAACTTACAACGAAGGAAGTTACGAATTTCAAAGACGTCTTAGCGAGCTCCGGTTTTAGGGAATCCATATTTGCAACCAACAGAATATTGTAGAAAATATTCCAGAAATCTCGCTAGACATCGAGGCGCCATCAAAGTCGTTGTAGCGCATTTCAGTTCCAACTTCGATGCGCCTGTGTTATGTTATAAATCGCCAGTGATAAACAATAATTACTGTTATAAATTAATCCATTCCTAATGATTGTCGATACTGCGTACAACTGAAGCTCAAATATGAAGAACACCCCGGGAACTGTGGACATCTCGAGAAAGCGACCGTGATTAATGCCTAATGATTAGGGAATGCAATCCCGCAGCAAAATCTCAATCCCCGTATTTGCGGGACGGTTAGATGTTAATCCCGCGGGATCCCGGTATTTGCGGGATCCCGCAAAACTTTAAATAAATTGCCAAATAAGCAATTCTGTGTGGTTAACTTCTGTATTAAAATAAATCGCTAATTATCACAATATTTAACAAAAAAGTACCTTCAACTTAGAGCTCAAAAAAACCTCACCTGTAAAGCACAAAAAGGTGAACTTCTAAAGTGCCTCAAAAATCATAGTACATTTTAACGAAAAAAGTTTAACAATTATTTAAAAAATAACTTCTCCGTTATGCGTTTCATTAACAAAGTAAACAGAGTCGTCCCCTAGGTCGACATATTCCTCAGTCCCGCTCCATTTCAAAAATTCTGCGGGATCCCGGTATTTCGGGACCTCGCGATCCCGGTATTGCATTCCCTACTAATGATAAACTGGAAAATGGAAGAGAAAAGGCCACCCTGGGAAGAGGTATCTCGATATGGTCCAGTTTTAAAGGCGGATGTGACGCAATCCTTCCGAGAAAAATGACGCGATTATTCCGAACCGTTCTGAGAACATTATAATACAATGACCGTTTACTATATAAGCAAATTGCAGCGTATTTCAGTTCAGTTCCAACTTCGATATTATAAATAGTGAGTGATAAATAATATTTACTGTTATAATTAAATTTACGTTACAAAATGCTACGATTTTAAGATTGGAAACCATAATAATAAAATCAAAAATCTAGATGCGATGTCTGAAAGTTTCCGGAAAGTTCAGTATTGGATAGAAAAGTTATTTTCCTTGTCGGAAAGTTTCTACACATAAAAAATGATATGATAAGTGAAGAGGTAGTGAGGGAGGAATGAAAGGATTTGACAGGAGGTCCGTGAAGGAATCATGTACAAAAGACTTGTGAAGTTATGTGTAAGTAGAAACGGGCCGTGTTTGAAGCGAAGACAGTGCGAAAAAGGATGAAACAGAAGGGTTAAGAAGAGAGGATTCGTAAAGGCATAAAACAAGCCTGTTTTGAGGAAGGCGTTTGGTGAACGAATGTGGAAATAACGTGGGTGAAGTGGACATCTAGCCTTGTTACATAATTCACTAACTTGGCCTCTTGGAAATTGAGATAATGTGTCTCAAACGAGAATAACAATTTTTTTTAATATTATCCTAGCCACAAACATAAGCTATCGATTTCAGAAAACAACATGTAAGAAACTCCCTCTATGTTATCGTGTTAACAGAAAAACAGAAAATATTTAATCAGGAATCCTTTCGGCCAAAAGGCAAAAGGCAACAGATTCATTTTCATTTTGGAAGATTGCTTTGTGAAAGGCCCATATTTTTCCGGTACATATTTAGGAGCACACGCACTCAATGGATCAAAGCTCGGGGTGACAACTAATCAGTATAACGTTAAAATGGGACGATAAAGGGTATGAAAACATAAACAAGAGACAAGTACCTGTGGTACTTATTATTATTTGTAATGAAAAACCTTCACGATGATTGTAGGTTCAGTGGAAGAACAGAAAATTGATGCATGTTAACAAAGCTTATTTATTATTATTTAGTAGCAACTGAATTTTATTTCGTGAACTAAAAACCTTTAAAACCCCAAAAAAGGCAATGATGTTAATTTAACCCCCATCAAAAGGGCCCATCATAAGTTCAGTAATAATGTTCTCTTCTGCACTCAACATTAAATGTACTAAAAATTTAGTAGGACGAAAAAGGACAAAGGTCCCAAATCGGACGTAACAGTTTCAAGCTGCAAGAGAGTAAGTACAGTGGTCATCCGTAATACAAGTAGATTCATTTTTTACATAAACTCACATCAAACACTTAAACGATGACGAGGTCTACCACTTCAATTCGTCCCTAAATGAATTCGTTATCTTCCAACATAGAAAAAGTTCAAGTATATCAATTGACATTTAGCCATTTAAGTATTTTTTAATTACTTCCCATCCATTATCACTGTCATAGAGAATGCAATAATTCAATTTTAAACGCAACCAAAAGCGGAAGCGTTGTGTGCAATAATAGTACTCGAGCCTGCAATACTGGTACCTTGATCCTCGGTCCAAAAGAAACTCGTCTCTGAGGCCGATCCCATAAAAAATTTTTACCAGATCCTCTCAGATAATTCGGTCAAAGGAAAATTAACGCTGAAGTAAAACCGTGCGCGAAATTACTTTCAGGGAGCGAATATCCCGTGAAGCTTCCACTCAAGATGCGAAATTACCTAGGAGATTGATTTCTTTTTTTCCGATCCGCAGCCTCTAAAAAATCTGAGATAGATTTCTAATTGCCTTTTCAGTAAAATAAAAAACGTTCAATGCATTCAGTGATGCCCCCCTCCATCCAAGGTTTTTTGAGTACATAATACGTACTATTTTTATTCCATTATCTCCTTACGAATTCTAACAAACACTTATTAGGTTTGAAAGTGGGCAAAAAAATAGATTGTTATTTGTTTCTATCGCGAAGTAAACGAGGCACTTAAGCCAAGGATTATATCAAATAATTAAAATCCTTGGAAATATTCACCGCAGAGTGGTTCATTCATAACATATTGCATTTCAGATTTCCAAGTTTTAAATGTGAATTATCTTTTGACGCGTTTATTAGGTACTTTTCATTAGTAAAATAATGTCATTTTGTTCTTTTTCCTATTAATTTAGTTTCGTAGATTCCAAAACGTCTCGTATTTTGTCGATTGCACCTCTGAATCAAAAGTGCACTGTTTCCACCCTTCAAAAATTCCATGTAAATTTCCCCTTTTGTGTGCGATCATCTTTTCAACATTTGCAATTTGTATAGCTACTCCATTTTGTATTTTCTAATTTCTGACACCAAATTTTAAGTTGTCCCAAATTCATTGACGAAGATAGGCATCACACACAAGATACCTTTTAACCATAAGTCTCTGAACTGTGTCGTAAATGTTTGATTTTAGTCGAAGGGAAGTTACAAACAAGTATTGTTGAGTTGAATGATTAAATTTGAATACAAAAAATGAATTTTTATACATTGCATAGGCCGTCGCAACATATAAACTAAGGTTAAAGCAAATAATGAGTAGCGAGAAAGCTCTTCAGGAGATGACCCTTATACACAGACAAAGTATGCAAATAGCAGATACATTTCTGTAAATAATTAAAGAAATATAAATGTTGCTTCCACTTATTGGCACTCGTTGAAAAAGTATCTCCTTCATAATTTTCTCAATATTTTAATGAGATGGGAAGGTGATCATTGATCAAACTTTTGTAATTAAAACTTTCCAATGCAAAGTTTCAAATTAATATTAAAATTTGAAGTGGGGAAAAGCAAAAATAAACTCGCTCATAAACAATACTTACCTTATAACTTACGTACTCTTGCAGTGGCTTTTCCGGTATCGGAAATTGGAAACTCAGTATACCTTTTATACCTATTACATTTTCCTCTGTATGCGTATGCGCTGACTGGAAAATCTTAAATTAAACAGATTTGTGTATAAAAATAAGATGAAAAAGTCTCTCTGACACTCGTATTGATTCCCGAAATAAATTTCTGAACATCCGAATTGAAGATTGAGAGCATTATTTAATTTTATAACTGTTACTGTTACGTCATTGAATAAAACTTAATTTTTTATTCAATGGTTACGTATATTAATTATAAAAAAGTGTGAAGTACACAATTGACAATTTGTTAAATTTTAATAGGTTTGAATGAGTAGGCTAAGCCGCTCTTTAATCGTGAGTGTTGGTAAAGGAACACTTTAACCTCAAGGGAGATAAAGTGAAATACATGATTGTGCATTCTAATGACATCATTCTCATTTCAAATGTGACGCTAAGGACGATATAAAATGACGTTCAGAACATGTAACAATGCTGTTTCTAAGGAAACAACCGCGACGACGGAGCTTGAGGACTAAATTAATTTTAGAATTGGCACAAGCTTTACAATGAGTTATATGGCGCCTGCTATAAAATAAAGTTTTGTATTATACACGACGATAAAGGGAAACTAACCATCCCGTGGAAGTGAATTCATTAAGATCTTTCACTCAATGGTTAAAATATACCTTTATTTTTGTATGCTATTTTGGATGTGATAGGCAATTTAGTTCCTTTCCATTGCATTCAAAAGTTGTAAATGGCAAATTATTCCGAATTTAGTGTATGATTTAAAAAAAACGGTAAAAACTAGACCAGTATAAAATATGTAGGTTAGTCTTAACTTTTGCTTCAAGGAAGAATGATAAGGGAGGAAAATGAGAATGATAACGATCTACAACACAGAGGGGGTGAAGGACTTAACAAATGAAATAGAAAATATGGTAGATAAAAGGGAGGAGAAGGGAAAAAATATATTGGGGGGAGATTTTAATACCAGGACACGAATTAATGGAAAATGGGTAGAGATGGGAAGAGGAGCACAAAATAGAAAGTCAAGAGATATAAAGTGCAACAAAGAGGGAGAGGAGTTACTGATGTGGTCAGGAGGTTGGATAATTTTAAACGGAAATATGGAGGGAGATAGGGACGTGTGGCAGAGGGGGGTCGGTAAAGGATTATGCGATAGTACATGAATAAATAATGGAGGAACTAGATGAATTTAATGTAGGAACAAGGATAAAACCGGATTATTAACTGATGGAATGAAGTCTAAAGGGACACGAGACAAGAGACACGGTAGAGGTGGTACAATATAAAGGGCTAGACTCCTAAAAGCCTCTTTTTCTACCTCGTCTGTCTCTGTCGCTTTCCTCTTCTTCAGTCTTTTTAGTTGCTGCTCAATTCCTTCGCTTGTTATCTCATCTCCTTCCACTTCCTCTGTTCCTACCCGTTCCGTAGTCTCTTCTTTCTTCCTGCTTTCCTTGTAGCACCGTGATAAAATGTTGTTTTCCTTCCTCTAATTGTATTTCATACACATTTTTCCTTTTTCTGTCTGCTTATCGCCTTTCAAAAATTCTTTTATTTCTCTGATTCATATTCCTTCTGTTTCGGCAACTTTTTTTACATTTTCTTTTGTACTTTTTTTATGTTTTCGCTCACCGGTTTCTCCTCTAATTCCCCTCTTCGTTCTTTCTCAATCATTTCTCTATATTTATTTCGCTCTTCTGTACACTTTCTCTGTCACCACTCCTTTCATTTTTCTGTTCCCTCCCCTTCAGTTATTCGTTTCCACGACAAAGACAATGTGGAAAGTTATAGGGGAATCACGATAATAGTACTGAATGAAAGATTAGAATAAGAAATGGAAGAGAAGAGGAGATTGGGGAAAGGGGGTTAAAGGTAAGGGAGAATGAAATTGGAGAGGGGTGAATAGAAGAAGGTAGAGAAATTAAATATTCAGGGCACCAAATACAAAGAAATAATCGAAAATAAGAGAACTAAGGAAAAAGGTAGTGTGGTGATGCGATACATGTGTGGGAAATAAGAGAGAGGGGTTTCAAAACAAGCAAATACCTAAATAGGTATCTTGAAGTTCATTGTGTGCTCGAAATGGCATAATTGAAGTAGTAAAAAGATCTCTCAACTGTTCCCATAGGTATAAAAGGCACTACATGTTTCAATCGGAGGTCATCATCAGGTGTTCTATAAAATGGTGAAAAGTATTGAGGAGAGACCATGAGCTACTTACGATAAATGAATATGGATAACTTAACCTATTAAATACCAAAGGGGCAGTAACAACTTGAAGTACTGCCTCTTTGGGTTTTAATAAGTTAAGTTATCCTTATCAATTTATCGTAAGTAGCTCATAGTCTCTCCTAATACTCTTCACCATCTTATAAAACACATAATGATGACTTCTGGTTGAAAAACGTAGTGTTTATACCCAATAAATAACTATAGGAACTGTTTAGGATCTTTTGATCTAAACGGAAGGACAAATTATATATTAGAGGAAAGAAAAATAGGGAAAATAAGGATAGCGTCGGGACAAAGGACGGCAAAGTTCGAGAAAATGAGTGAAAGAGAAAGAAAAAAGAAAGTTTTACAACAAGGATGGACTTAAAGGAATGTGGGAGGAACAAAGAGGAAAATATTATAAAAGAAATAGACACGGACGGGCTGAGGTGGAAAAGGAGGTTGGAGTCGCAGATAAGATGGCAAATGCGCTGAAAAAAAGGACCTGAATGCACGAATACAACAATAGAGAGTGAAGATATAGAGCGTTTAACTTACTTACTTAGTCCGCTTTACATTTGACACTTTCATTGGGGTTTCTAGGTAAATGACTGCCTATATGAATGCGGGTAAAGAAAACACGTGTTCATGCCAGACAAAACAAAGGGTGTGGTTACATCGTAGAGACCAATTACGTGTGCAGTTTGACACAAATTCTAAGCCAATCAGCCGTTCATCAGTAGGAATAGTCATTTGCAAACACTACGTTACAGAATAACACATCTCTAGTGTTCCATCAAACCAATTTAGATTACCTCGTTAATTTATAGTATGCTTACAACAACAATAATGGATAATATGATAATAATGTAAGACAATAAATGATTATTGAAATTACTCCACCGCGAGTATTACGACCCCCTTAAAATCTTGCGTAAACATTTTTAAAGGACCTTGTTTCCGAAATGTTTAATTACATCTATAAAATTTATACGCAATAACTTTTGGCAATGCTTCCCGTGTTATTTACAGACCCACTACAATATACCTACTTCTACAATTTATGGTCAACATTTTACACCCTTTGCCTTTTACTCATTATACGATACTACAGCTACAACTGAAATCAACCTACCTCAATTTTGTTAAACCAAATCTCGATGAAACATTTTCTAAAAGTGAAATGCGTGCATAATAGCTTCTGAGGTATACGTATCGAATAAAATCCTTAAATTTGAACGATAACGTTTCAAATTTGGGCCCCGATTACTTCTTCTAAGATAAAAGGATTTAACAAAATCTGCAGATTTGGACGAAGATCTTATAAATGTTTTCCGCACGCACCTCTATCTGCTGTAGCTCTACATTTCCATTTAAATTTGTTTCGAAATGCCATGACCAGTTTCAGTGGTCACTCTGTATCTAGAAGTGCGTTTTAAGTAGGGCGCTTCGTTACGAAGATTGGCACTCCGAAAATATTTATTTCTGTTTAGGAATTGGAAATATAAGGTAGAAATTAGTGGATTAATTTATAGAGCTGCCCGTTGTTAAGGATAATAAGAGGCCGTTTTTAATTTGCCGTTTGCAAAAATTCCCGTAGAAATATTTAAATTATGTTTATAACCGCCGAAAACTCTTATCAGGGAAGAAGAGAGAGAATCAATCAATCAGTTAAGTTTTAGATCTGTTAATTACCCATTAATCGAGTTTCATCCAATACGAAAACCAGCATTAAACCGGTGCAAGGAAAATATCAACGTGAAGTTTGACAGTTTGACCAAACATTCCAAAAGAAAAAGGGCATTTCTGTACTGCCGAATTTGGAGATTTCATTCCGACTATTTGGGTTAAATACAATGAACCGTAATTATATAAATGGGTTATAGATAACAGCATCCGATTAAGGGAATATTAAATCCCTTGAAAAACAGGTCCCATATTTCTAAGACATCTGAGAAGAACGTAATTAATTAAAGAAATTGTAATTTTTGTATGTAGATAACCGAACACGCTTCCCAGAGCTCTTGTCATTTAGAAGACGAGGGCAAATTAATGTTTGAGACTTTCAGCTCCATTAAGCCATTATTAGCAGGGTTTTTTTTCTTTGGTAAATTAAAGCGAGCATTAAAACTGCAAGGCCGTGCTGGTTGACGCGAACTGAGAAATCCCAATTAGTAGTAGGTGTTAATTGGACTACAGATTTTAGAAATTTCAATCCAACCATTTTAGTAAGTGCAATTAACAGTAGTTGAATAAGTGTTGCAGTAAACACCATTCCAGTCGTGTGGGGGACAAAGGAAACGTTCTTAATGTAGATGTTAAGACCAATTACAGATTTTTAGGACGCCCACAGAGAGTACATTTTTTGATAAAGACTTAATTCTTGGACCGAATACTCTGAGTCGAATAGAAGTCTTGTTCAGCAGTCGAATAAACGAGAAGTTTACCATTGAGACGATTATAAGCGACGACAAGGAAGTGATCTAAATCGTATGTTCTAGGTACAAGATTACTGATAACATGATAGTTGTGATTCCTACACCTTGTACCTACAACCAATTATCGGCAACTGATAAACGCTAGAGATACGTAGATGCGGTTTGACGCAGGAAAAAAAGTCTCAAACCTAGTGATTGTGGTACAAGCCTGGTACAAACCTAGGTACAAACTTTGAATAAATCAAAGATCGGAAGTTTCCTCTCCGAACACGTATTACAAGATACCGTTTTCTTCAAAATTTCATGTAAAACTAAATTAGGGTGACGAGACAGATGAAGTGCTGACGATAAGATACGTCTATAATGCAGTGATTATTTTCAATTACACATACGAGATCAACATGCGCGCCGCAGTAGCTCTTCCTTCCCTGTTTTTCCACTTCTTGTGTATACAGGCAAGTAAATCCAATCAGTACTATCCCGAGGAATTACAAATTTTCTCCAACCCGAAAACCTTGGGTAAGCACATTTTGGCACAGCTAGATAAGAGAGAGAGTAGATTTTTGTCTACGACGTGCTTTGATCAGTTACTCGAGTATGGACGTGGACTCCTCGGTTTCCAATTCTGGGCGATTCAACGTACGTATCCTTGCGATTGATCCTAATTTACGGTCATATTGTAGTATTCGACTCTAGCGAGAAATTGCCCTCTGGACTGCTCAAGGGGCACGGAGGGGCGTTGGGATCGTTCGATCAATGCTTGGAGGTGAGCGGAAATACGTCGGTGGGTACAATTAACGGAAAGTACTGCATTGGGAGCATCGAACTGGCAGACCTCGAGCAGGCGAACCTTATGGTAAATCTTGCATTGCCTGCTTTGCGTTTGCGTAATCAAATTTTAGTTGTCCGGGTCGTTCAAGCCAAGGTTCCTCAACATACCAAAGAAGAAAGTTATACTGCCATGGGGCGTTTGTCTACCCGCTGGCTGTGGTGTAGACGACTTTCGGGTAGTGACACTATTTATATTCAAGTACTCCGAGGACATGTGTCAAACGGCCGAGTCTCAAGCTTCAACCCTTGACAATGGCGACTACGTGGCAATGTAATGCGGTTTGGTATCACACGTGTCATTTAACATTGTGTTTTAGCGCCATCTTGAGTGCGTTCCTACTACTTCTAATCGTTAGCACTGTCTTTGAGAAGATAAAGCATCCAGATAGTAAGACAAACCCCCCACCCGCAGGGTTGTAATCAGTAAATTTCAGCACGTTTAAAAGAAGCGTGTAGCTCGTTTTCCATTGCACTGAACTACAAAAAGCTAATGTCTCAGGAGGTTGAGGAAAACGAAATTAGTTGCCTTAATGGTATCCGTGCTATCACAATGATTTTTATGATACCTGCTATGCGATTCCTAATGTATCCACTGTCACCCAATGACAACTGGCTCGATTTGTTGAAGGTACGTCCACAGTTATCGTCTACCGCTTTTCCAACGTGGATCATTTTAGTTTATTACAGATACAAACAATGCAGTCTTTTTGGAAGCATTCATCTGCGTCGACACCTTCTTGGTGGTTTCAGGAACATTGGTCAGCTACAACTTTTTATCGAGAAGACATCAAGGGGCAAAGTTCAACTTAGCTTTCTACATTTTAAACAGAATTGCGAGGTTTGTCGACAAATCCTTGTTTGCGTGTCTATTAAATCTTCCTTCAGGTTGACCCCAGTACTTGCCTTTGTTGTTCTAATACAAACCACATTGATGAGACACTATGGCTCGGGACCATTTTGGCCTTTGGTGAAAAGCCTTTTCGTTGTGGACTCCTGTAGGGATTACTGGTGGACAACGTTGCTGAACATTCAAAACTATTATAACCCAGGATTTACGGTATAGATCTATTATTAAGATTCAAATAGTCATTACTAATAACTAATAATACTCAAAGATCTAGTCCCATAACCTATTCCCCAATATCTAGCCTTTTATCTTTACTTAAATTACCAAAATTGTACCTTATAAGCTACGGCTCTGTCTTCGGTTAGCAATGTTGACACTGCAAATAGTAATTTGCAACCCTCTGTAGACGAACAGCAGGTTCATTCTTTTATTCTGAAATGAGGATTTCGTCTCCATACTTCATCTGACTGCGACTGTGCCCAATTTTGCTCTGTCTTCCTCAATTAGCTCAATCAGATGATGAATGGAAAACTGGTATTCATCACTGTTCTCGTTAATGATGGAAAATAGCACCTGCATGGTTTCGTAAACGTTCGGCGATGGGCGGAGTCTTCTTTTCTGCGTAGTTTTTGATAGATGGTAAAAACTAACAAGCCACTTTTGACGTTACAATGGCGTGTCCACATACCGTTTGTTACTTTTATATATGTAATTTTTTTGCGGATATTTGATTCTGTAACCTAAAAAAGAATATATGGTTGCGAATAATACCATATACCCATTACCTTGCGGAAGTTTGGCAATTTTCCAATCAATAAAACAAAATATCCAAAATGCTCAGTTTGAATTCGATTCTGATCAACAAATACAATACAAAATCTAATTTATGCAAACATTTTCCGCTGGTCGATTCCTTTAGGAATATTAGAATTACGTCGAACAAAATTTCTTATGCAAATTCCAAAAATAACCGACCATTACTTTATACAAGTCAAAAAATTTAAAATAACTTGCAGTTATTGACGTACCAATTGATCTTATGTCTACTTGGAAAATGCCCCTTCCTCTAAAAATATGGGAACAAGCGGAAAAAAAGTCATATGAATCACGAATCCAAAGCAAACCGGCTACATCTTCCTGAAACTCGAGATCGTGATTATGACCTGGAATAAAATGCCAATGTTCCGCTGTGTTGATTTTAATTTTTCCCGATTTATTCACTAGGTTTATTTGCGGGCAAAATGCACCCATTAATTATCTTTAAATTCCCTGCCGTATGTCGTTGTATACAAAATTTTTATTTATCGCACAATGCGTTACTCAACTTTAAGGAAGTTTTAACCTGCCGTTACTGCCAGCGATACGAAAAAAACTTCTTTGTTTACAACAATGAGTTTTAATATTAGTTTATCTACTCCCGTTTATATTTAAAAGGCGCTTCTCCGATTCCAAATTGTTCCTTCACATGATTCGTAAGTAAAAAGCTTTACTAAGGATCAGGCTGCTAAAAAGTTTTTCTTCGTCCCAGAATTTACTGTAATTTATCTATTCGCACACACATTAAATTGCAGATAACTCGCTATTTGTTACAAATCCGAATTTGATTAGCTATGCGCTTCTTAATGGCGCGATTGAAGAAACAGAGTCGGCACTCTGGGGTAACTATCAGTTGGCTGATGCATGCTTAAAAACCCGTCGACTTGCCCAGCTTCTAACAACTGCTCTTTAGAGAGGAATTTTGGGATGTTTGACGGTAAAATGCCGACAGGATCCGAATGTTAATTTTAGTCGTTAGTGCACTCTTTGTTGGCAAAGAGGAGCATTGGCATAAACTCGATTTACACGGGTTGGTATCAAAAACTGGATTTAATTTTTAGGAAAATATTATTTACTTTACTAACAGTTTTGTTTATCGCAATTTCGTTTTAAACATGAACTTAGCTTAATTCTTGTGCCTCAAACCCTCATTTCCGACTACACAGCTGAACCGATTGAAACCAAATTGGGTACGCTCATTTTATGATATATGTAAAAGGAGTCCAAAAGGTTTAAATGGGGAATTGGAAGGTTGGAGGTCGAAAATAACTACAGACTAAAATTTAATTAGACAATCGTATTCTTTTTGCCAGGCAAAACGTAACCATCAATCTCTTTTTCAGTCAGTTTGTGTGGTATCAAGTTGGTTTACTGCCGTAAACGTGCAACTTTCCTTACTATCATTTTTGTTGCTGTGGCCGTTGGCGAAAGTTCCCAAATACACCATTGGATTCGTAAGCGCCCTGCTGGTAGGCTCAATGTGCTCCGCATTTCTCACTTCTTGGGTTTACGATGTTAAATCAATTTTCCTCTTGAATATATTGTAAGTACCTACGTAAAGTAATTGCGATTTAGTTTTTTTTTGTAACAGCCCGCCGCATTTGGATAAGTATTTAAAACATATCTTTTACTCGATGCACAACCGTGCTTCCACTTTCATCATCGGATTTCTTCTGGGATACGTCTTATACGAAAGCAAGCGGCCGAAACACGCCAAAACTGTCCTAAAGGTACGTTTTCCAAAAGAGAACCTTTTTAACATTACTTCCAGATATTTAAGCCCTTGGTGATAGCAAGTCTGTGGGTGTTAGCGCTCGGATTAATAGCGCTCTGCCTATTTGTAAGTCAAGCATTTATCAAGCTGGACTACTATTGGGTCCACCACACCTTGCAAAATACGTTTACGCGACCCCTTTGGGCAATTGCGGTCGCGTGGATCATCTTCGCATGCGTGCACGGCTACGCAGGTACGACGAGCTGATCGTCTCACTGACAATCTCACTGTCATTTTAGGTCCAGTGAATAGCATTTTATCGTATTCGGGTTTCCGAATTTTATCGAGAATCTTGTACAGTACTTTACTTATCAATTTTACCGTAGCGATTATACTCTCGGGACAAACCAGAAAAGGATTTCATTTCTCCGCATCTGATGCCGTAAGCATCACCAATAGCTCATTCACTTGATCACTCTCTTTTCAGATTTCCAGATTGTGGGGTGATTTAATTTGGACATTTATATTGGGATTACTGCTAACTTTACTCGTCGAGTATCCATGGAGAACCCTGGTCAGGGTTATTGGAAAGTGGTGTGGCGGTAAGTAACTTCCACTGCCAACGCCACTAAGTGTAACTCCTTAACAGTTTCAGGAGGAGGTTGTGAGGACAGTGGCACAAGACATGAAGGTGGGAAGGTGGAATAAATGTGGTTACCCTCTCGCTTGTACTAATTAAGTCTAACCTAAGGCAGTGTTAAATACAGTCAATTAAACAAACCCCAATTTATGCCTTTCCTAGTGTTTTTTTAGAGCTCACACTGGGGGGTAAGGTTGAGCCTGATCATTTGTGTGCTTTATTTACAGTTTATAACGAAATTATAAAGAAAATGTTACTATGGTCCCCCAAGCCGGAACTCCTATTTAAACTTACCCTGTACTTATAGTTTGCAACTTTGGGGTCGGACGTTCCTCGGCACTTTCGAAACTCGACAACAATCGACTTGTACTGGATGCCACGAACTCTTACCAGGACGGTTCTTTTATGTATTGGGATGCTAAACATACATAAAGGGAATTGAAAAAGTGCAGAATTTTGTGCGTAAGAAAAGGAAAGAACGTATAAAATATATTACAGACACAATACCAGGAAAACCTTCTTCGGGACAAAAACCCCAGCATAACCCACCCAAATTCATGAAATCAATCAATTGCGGCAACAAAATGCAAGAGAAAATACACAAATAAAACATCCCAAATTTTACAATAAAAATCAGGTAATCGAATCAAATACAGTTAATCAAAACAAAACACACGAGACATCATAAATGCAAGTGAAAAACGTGATAAATCAATTTAGTACAAAAAACACACTGATAATAAACTTTATCGCGAATACAGAAATAAAAACTTAATAAAACAGTATAAAGGCAAAAACAAAATCTCACACAAATGTACATACAATGACATCTTTGAAGTTAAACGTGCCACCATTAATTTTAATTAAGCGTACTCCACAATTGTGTCTCCTCCTGATCATAGATCAACGTAATCCAATTTTCTTTCGCATTATTAGATAATGCCCTATTTTGTGCGGTTCTCCATAAAAAAGAAAACTTCATCTTACGTTTTCAGTAAGCCCTTCACATTGTTTATCCCAGCATTTTACTTTGGAGATGATGCTGCACAGTAAACTTTAGCAATTAAGATGTATGTGGGGATACAATACAAAGTTTACAAGTAATTAATGAATCTCTTATCTCGTTACATAATTTATCAAGTTAATGATTTTCATGGTAAAAATAGGGCTTGTTACATGGAAATTAATGCAGTCGTGCGCGGAATTCGTGGCTTTCATTTAAATGTGGGTCGTTCTCGTTACACTATTCTGTTCATTTTTGTACACGAGGGTGTTTATTTTTCTTTGTCTAATTAGTAAACGTAAAAAAAAAGTACAAGGGTTTGTGTTTCGTACTTCGTATTTTACGCTCTATGGTCTGCAAAAAATTAATTTAATCCTCCACTCTTAACAGAAGTAGACTAAAAAAGAAAGTGAAATTTTGGGTTACGCAAAACAAACTCTCGTAACAGATTTTTTAATGGGATTTGATTTACATTTTTGTGATACCATTACTCAATTTTATTGAAGCGTTATTAGAATTATCCCATTAAACGCCATTTTTAGTTCTAAACTTATGACTGCTTTCCAATCAAATTGTAAAGCCTCCAACTTGAAACGTTTCCCTATTGTCTGATCTCCTCAATCTGAATGTTTTGTTATAATGTTTAATTGTAAAACTAGGAATGTTCTTCAAGCTGCAGTAGAAGTTTAGTTGCAGAATCGCGGCATAAAAATAATAAGTCTGTGTACAGAATTCCTAACACTAAGTTTTAAAATGGATGGGTCTTCTTAACTTTGTGTAGATTCCAGATTTTCTGCATAAAATTTTCCAACCCCACACTTTGACTTTCAGGATTTCAAGTTGAAATTATTAATTGTACGGAAATTAATTGTTTGGCACCATTTATGAGATAGGGCAGAATCGCCATTAGCCTCCACAAAAATGCGGTGAGCTTCAGCAGCACTTTTCTTCAGAATGAAGTAGTGCAATATCGCTGTTTCTGAGACGGAAGCATTTAGCGTGATTAAAAAATAATATTATATCCTCACTATTTGAGTTTTTAGAGGAATCTGGCCTAACAATGTTTTTGGAATCCCCAAACTATGAATCTAATCACCTGAGATTAATAAATGTGGATGATGGCAATTAAAATTCCACGCTTTCAACTGTTTGTAAACAAAACCGCTCACAAAAAAGAAAGAGGAAAAATGAAAGTGGACAACCACTGCGTGGTAAAGTTGCGTTTGCACCAAACTACCTTTGGGTGGCACTTAAAACAAGTTAAAAAGATATAAACACTCTTAATGAATATGTATGAGTAAAATGTACCGGCAAGAAATGTGCCCGTATTAAACAACTACATCTTTTATGCAAATTCAATTAACTCCTACGTTTCGACATTGATGCAGCATCAAAATCTCGAGTCAACCACAATCAAGATTAATAATTCGAATCGTATTCTGAAGATGACTACAATAAAAACCTTTATTTAGTAATTCAATTGTAAAATTACGTAACCGCAGTAGCCGAAGAGTGATGAACGTTCCAATTTATTACACATTTAGTTACCTAGACAGTAAGTGAAACTGTGTGCTTCGTAGCAGTGGAAAATCTAAAAACTTGGGAATACGTGCAAGATGGTTTATACCATTTCGGATAAATACCAAGATGCGTAAGTTTTTCTTCTTAAAACTCGTAAGGGTTTTAATAATGAATTGTGTATCGAGATAAATCTTAACCAAAAATTATGAAATAATACCCGATTGTAGCAAAGCCGGTGTGAGTAGAACAGGTTTTTGTATCTCAACGTCATTTAATAGAAGCATGGATTTTACGTGTTAAATAATTACGCAACGATAAACATTTTGTATTAACACAGTCGAAGTATTACATATTATATCATTAAAGAGGTTATTTACCTATTGCTAGAAAAATTAACATTATTTCTAATTTTGCAATTCTTTCCTTGCGAGTAGGGAGGCTTGGGTTCCACCCATTACCGTCCAATACTTTTCAAATAAAATAATTAATTTAGCGGTGAGGGGCTCTCGTATAGTTGCATCGCTCGGGGGCGCCTCGTTCTGTATCAATATCCTATTGGCCAATTGCAAACTACTCATTGCACTCGTTTGTTGACTCGGTTGCACCTCGTTAAATGAACGTTCCCATGCTTACCTACCGATCGAAATTAGTCTATATACAGTCTGTTTCAAATTAAGTCGGCACTATTGGTAACTTTCTTAGTTGTATCGAAATGGTGAATTTTTTCTGCTGAACCCAAATCTATAATTAAAAAAACAAAACAACGTCGCATTTGTTAGATAATTACATGCGACTTTGTTATATGGAACATCCTGTATATTACACCATAGAACAGCTTATTAAATTCTCTACAAAATCTCTTATTAATGCATCATAACAAAATACTCCATTTGGGAATTGACGAATGCTGCTGTGATAACATCGAGGAGGGATTCTATAATATCATTCGCCATTGGTCCATGTTGACGGTAAGGGAAGAGTCTGTCCCCGGTAAGCAAGAGAGCTCCGATATTTTGCGCGTTCCTTACTGTCCATGTTGGGGGGTACTTATTGGCATTTGTTCGTTCGCCTTTGTGAAGTTGAGAAAGAAATTGTTTTTATTTATATTGTAACAGGCTTCGTAGCATTTACTTGGGGTTGAAAACGTCCCTTTCATAAAATTGGACCTCTACGGCACTGGCATAAATTTTTAGGGTTCTCACGGCTAGCTCAGTAATTAAATTATTTTTTGTACCCGTCGGAACGTACCTACCCCCGGAAATTGAAAATCGACTGCTCTGGTTTGATTTAACAATAAATACGCACATAACTTTCGAGTAAAGCAAAAGCGATCAAATTCTAATTTTCTTTGCACGTTCCTGGATATAAAATATTAGTTTGATTCATAAAAAGAGGAAAACAAAAAATTGCAATGCCTATTTCTTGATCACGTGTTCCTGAGCTCTCTTCGTGGAATCAGGTTTAACATGAATAGAGTCTTTTTAGTAAATGTGATGAGTGGTAGAGGACGCGAAGTGACATTAATATAAACTTTGAATGTTTTTTTGAAAATTTCAAATGGAACGATATAATTACTATAGGATATTATCAAATAAGATGAAAAGGTGAGAATATCAGTGAGAACCACATTTTGATATCTGTTTTCTAAGCAGAGATATGGCAAAATAAAGCTCCAGACCTAGCACTTAAACCCTTAGCTTTCCCCAATAACCGGACAGCCATTGCTTTAATTTATCCATTTTTCGCCACTTTTTATATGAATCAATTAGCCCATTTAAGTTGAACTCCTAAAGATATCTTGTTGACTCGACCTAGGGATGCAAGGGTGATAATTAGCTCAATGGGAAATTCAGGATCTTACAGAATCGATAAATCAATAAACTATAAAGTTTTACTATTTCTTGTATAAATCATCTTAATCATAAATCTATAACCTCCACAATTTTCGTTATATACTGCGTTCAAGAAAATTTTACAAATAAAAATCTACCCCCTTTTTCTGTAAATAAGGAAACAAATTTCGTTTAGAAGAAATAATTTTCTGTCGGTCGATTCTCATTATACTTTTTCATATTTTGTATAAGAGCTGGGAAAACCAAAATACGGCTAACAATTCTAACTTCTTTTGAAATTTAGAAATGTTTCCAAATCCAAATGAATAACACGAATAAACTTGAGAAAAGAGAGGGGTCCACGTGCTACCGCTAACCCTGTAAACATATCATGAAAAAGTGTAGGAGTTTCAACAATGAAAGTGCATACTGACAAGTCCTGTGTGTAGTACCTACTGTGTGATGCGCTAGTGTTATAAAAAATATTGGGAGATTTCAACAAATCGAAAGGTAATGCAGGTTAAGGGTAATGTTGTGCAGTACCATTTAAATTTGGGCCAAATTAAACGAAAGAAATATAGTATATTGATCGCATGCATCCTTGAAAGATTACTTTCATATTCATTACAATTTGCAACATGCGTATGTGTTTCATTTATTTTTTATTTAAATAATCGTAATATCTACCCGTTTTTTGCAATTTAATTAGCATTTCTTACAAAAGACTAAATTTCTACATTATACGCTCTCGTTGTATATACTGCAAATAAATTATTTGAATTAAAATTGTCCA